TAATGTCTCTGTAAGTGGCCATTGTATAGACCTTTGAATGTGGGGGGCTGAAATTTTAGCATGCACATCTTACAAGACCAATGCTGTGAAAATGTGTTCCCATGGCTTGGCATTTCTTTCTTCGAGTGTGTCAGATGTTGGATGATTTTATGCTGGTTACTCTAAAGTGTGCCTCCTTTCTGCCTCCTTGATCTTTTAGGAAAGGGGACAGGGCTGTTCAAGAAGGCCGAACTTAGAGACCCAGCTTACCTGTTGACCTCAGCTTGAGGCTGATTGCCCACATTAGCTTTCTGCCCTGGAGCACCTTCTGGAGGAGCCTATCCTTATGCTGCCTTACAGGAAACCTAGAGCCCAATCCCAAGCCCTAGAGCCCAATCAAACTAAAGCTTGTGAATAGACTGTTTCTTGTCACATTCAATGCTAAAACAGTGAATGAAGTCCTTAAGTCTAATGCTTTTTGATGAGAGCTCGTTTTCTGAGATTTTGTCGTTCATTTTAGCTAGACAGAAATAGACTTCAGCAGGGCTTTCAGAGGTTTGACTGAAAATTACACCACTTCTTTAATTAATAGATTCAATTTTCAGTGAGTGACAACATAATAATTTAGGTGTTTGCAGTCACCCTGTTGTCCATTCAGTGCGAACATAGAAAAGTAAGAACAGCCCTATTTAGCATTCATTTATGGACTGTGAACAGGTAGAGCAAAAGGGCCAGCAAGCTCAGCTTGTGTTCAGTACAGAGGTGTGGAAAGAACAGGCGATTTGCTTCTCACTTCACCACCACAAAACAGGCCTGCTGCCATATCACTGTGTGACAGTGATGTAGAGCTGAGGAGAATCAGGGTCACAGACTGCAGGCGGTTGTGATGGGGATGGGTCGCTGTGTGCCAGGTGTGCTTTTCATGTGCTGCTCTTCCAAGGTGAAAACAGAGGTTCTCATAGGATTGTCTCAAGGCTCTTATTACCCCTCGATGCTGTGTTACACTTCAGATTTAACAAGAAACTAGAGTAGATGGAGCAATCAGTGGTAAGTCTATTGAATAGTTGATATCCATGTGCATGCAGCACAGAGACACATTCTGCTGTCTCTGGATGTATTGCTTTGTTTTGTGTTTGTAGGATGAGCTCAGAAAGTTGCTTTATAGCAACAGATGTGCTCAATCCAGAAGAAGGTTGTGAGGGAGGATGCAGTGCATCACTGCCTCAGTTTGGTCACTTTCTCTGATGGGTGCATTTAGGTTGTGTCCAGGTTTGGAGGCATTAAAAATCTGCATAGCCGTGACCCTCAGCTTGACCTAATTCTGGAATGTATTCTTGCTGGTGTGATAAATACATTTTCTTTAATGAGTCTGTAAATTTGATCATGTATGAATGTCTGAATGTCTGTATTTTATTTTAGTGACTCACATCATTAAACATTTTAAAGTGTCTGGAAGCCCAAGTTGTAATTACTCAGTAGATAACAGCTAAGAGAAAACTCCTGGTTCCTGTATTTGGTAATTTTCAAAGTGTCTTCATTTATCACTTTATGAAATGTATTTAGATTTACATTTTTAAGTGCTTATTTTGTAATAGCTTTTAAGAAAAAAAAAAAAAAAAGGCTTCCTCCTCTGTTTATCCTGCCTCACCTTTTAATGTATTTCAGTGACAGCTTGACATTTGAGGGCAAAGTGTTTGTCAAGGACTGTTTGAAGGTGACTTGAAAGAGACCTCATCTCTGCTCAGACACCATAGCAACTGACTGAGAAAGTCCCTTGGAAAGTGTGACCTGCATCAGCCCCTGCCCTCCCCCTGCTCTTAGGAGTTGGGCTGTTGAGTAATTCGAAGGGTAGAAAACAAGAAGCTTCAGAAGAATTTTTGAAATAATCTTAGGTAAGCAGTGTATCCAGTGCGTTGGAGTTTCCCTTTGTTGTCACAACATGCACTGAGAAGAAAGTTAAGCCAATAGAGTTACAAGAAAAGCAAATATGTGCTAAGCAGAACCAGGCTTCAAATCCCAAATGCCTCAGTTGAAGGGCTAATTGAAGTAGAAGGTATGGCCCAGTACTGAAAGGTACATTTCTTATTCTGGTCATGATGCAACTGACAACATCATGCTATTTCATAAAAAGTAATAATTAAATTTTACTTACACACTATTTTACCTTTATAGATTTGAGGTTGATACATATATTCTGGAACATGATTCCTCTTCCTGGTATGTATCACTATAATGATTTCCAAGGTGAAGCTCTGACTGCTGTGTTTCTCTCATGAATTTTGCAGATTCAGATCTTTCAGAGCAGAATAAATTCTGCTTTTCTAGTCCCAAGTAGCAGCTGCATTACCCATGCACTCCTGTAGGCTGAACGCTTTTGTTTGTTTTATAAACAAGGTGATGTGAAAGACCTTCAGTCCTTCCAGACAGATCTTCTCATAGAGGCGGCCCTCCTGCGTGCTGCAGTGCTGCTGTGCAGCAGCAGGGTTCCTCCGTGGGGTCAGAGCTGTAGCATGGCGCCGCTGCGGCGGTGGCTCAGGGTTCACCTGACAAGTTCTGTGCTCTGGTCAGGAATTGGACCTTAGGGAATCATTAGGAATTTCACTTGGGTGAATCTCAGTTTGGATTTCTGAAAAGAGAGCGCTGTGTTCTGACCTCTCTGAGAACAATGCTGCTGCATAAAGAAATCATGTGTTTCGCATCGTGATAGTGTGCTGCTGAAATGGATGAAAAATGAATGTGGGCAATGGATAAAGGGATTTGAAAAGGCCCAGTAATTGGCAAAATACTGGGAGCATTTTAAGAAATGCATCTTGGCATGTGTATTAGAAAGTGAGCTTTAAATAAATAGATACGTTATCCTTCCAACATCTGAATCCACACATCTAAAGCAGATATTTGGATTTGTGATGTTTCCTTTAGAATTTGGTTTTTTTTTTCCTCAGTGTTAAGACATGACTGAAATGCAGTAGTTACACGCATAGGAAAGGCAGTTTTCCCTGGCATTGAAATCCGATTTGTGCACATCCCATTCATGTTACACTTCAGCAGAGTAAATCTGTTAATGTCCCATAAGTTATGCTCCTGCAAAGTGATGAGGAACTCAGTTAAATATGATTCTTGCTTTTTAATTTGATTATAGTATCAGTTAAATGTAATGGCCTTATGCATTATGTATGTTGTGTTTGAGATAGCCTGCAGTTCCGTTCCATTACTGGGGTGCCCAGATCTCCTGGCACCGTTACCTGTTTTCACCAAAGTAGATCCTTGTATTCTCATTCTCATCCCACGCTGCTGTTGAAGGGCAGTGAAGGGTGAATACCTCTTCCCAAGAGTTAAGGGAGAAGCAAGTGAAAGCTGCTGTGCTGCTGTGTCCTCGTACCAGATTTGGCTTCTGGAGCCTTCCTGTGGCTCTGTTCCATTTCTCCACGACAGTTTATTCATCAGTCCACATCTTACATTATGGGTAGAATAAAACTGCATAGAAGTTATTTGTTCGTTTAGGCTGATGTAAAGGTGGTCAGTCACTCCCAAGATACAGGAGCGCTGCTGCCTACTGCTTGTGCCCCCAGTGCCCATGCACACCTTGCCTCACCGTGTGCCTGTGAACAGGGTGAGCAGCTGAGTAGCTGACAGCTTGTTTTGCTTTCCTCTTGTGACCAGAGATGCAGTTTTTCCTGGTAAAGTTTTTTTTTTTTTTTCCTGAGGGTTTTTCCATCAGAGTTCTCTAATTCCCAAATTAAAAGTGACCTGAGAATTTTTTCAAACTATTTTGGTAGCACAAACAATTTTTCTTTAATGATTTTAAAGAGAGATGACATAGGAGAACTCTTTGGAAGGATGTGTGATGTTCTTCCATGTTTGGTTCGCATGGGCACGTTGCTCACATTTCATGAAGGGATCTTGTAACATTTCTTGGATTTGCAGTGATTTATTGGGTTTTCCTTGGCTCTCTTTGCTCCCCAGCAGTTCTGCAGAAAGCTGTGACATTGCTATCAGCTGTGCAGTGAGAAGGCGAGGAGGCATGGAGCACCTTCAGGTCTGCATTACAGCACAGGTGTGGCACAAGAGGAGGGAAAGTAAGGACAAATATTTCCTGCTGGATTTCTCTTTCCCGTGTGCCTTCCTTTCATTTACCTTTCAGATGGATTTCCTCATACCCTCCCATGCCTGTGTGCTCTGTACTCAGCCCGTTTCTTCTGGGTAACCTCACCCAAAATTCTGTTGCTCTCTGTGCTGACGACTCAGATATCTTGCTCTCTTCCTCGCCTGTTAGTTAATTTGAATTCTTGTCTGAGCTTCTCTGCCATTTCCTTCTACCTGAAACAACAGCACTGCAGCAAACCCACACATTCCTTACACGGATGCTCTGGGAGCTGCTGTGGGGCAGGCTGGAGGCTGGGAGGGACAGAATAAGCAGGAGGTGGGACTGGGGAAGCATTCGTAGTGCCACAGTGGTGTTTTGAGGCACCAAAAGGAATGCTAATTATTGTTAAAGGAGTAATAATTCTGTGAATAGTTTGACGTAGGTTAAAGTGTTTAATTTAGCACCCCAGAGAGCACGCCTTGCAGTGTGAATCGTAGAATCATGCAGTGGCTTGGCTGGAGGGGAATTCAAGGACCATAAAGCTCCAGCCCCCCGCCGCCGCAGGCAGGCTGCCCACCTCTGTATCTAACACCAGCCCAGGCTGCCCGGGGCCGCATCCAACTGGCCTTGAACACCTCCAGGGATGGGCGGGGCATCGCAGTCTCTCTGGGCAGCTGTTCCAGCATCTCTCCGCTCTCATAGTGCAGAACTTCCCTCTGACATCCAACCTTAATCTTTCCTCCCTCGACTTCAATCCGTTTCCGCTGCATAGAAGCGGGCGGTGCTGCCCGCCGGGGGGCGGCGCCGTGCCGTGCGGTTAGGGCGGCTCGCTGGGGGCGCTTCTGGCCCTGCCGGGACTCGAACCCGCGGAGCGCGGTGGGGGCGGGGCCCGCGGCCGGAGGAAGTGAGGCGGCGGAGGAGGCGGGCGGTGCCGCCGTTGGGTGCCGGCGGCCATGAGCTACGAGCAGCGCCGCGACTGGGGCCGGGGTCGGGGCCGCGGCGGCGATGGCGGCTCCTCCGGCGGCGGGGGGCCCGGGGGCCGCGGCGGGGGCCGGGGCCGCCATCCCAGCCACCTCAAGGGCCGCGAGATCGGGCTGTGGTACGCGCGGAAGCAGGGCCAGAAGAGCAAGGAGGCGGACCGGCAGCAGGTGGGCCGCGCGTTCTGCGGGGCGTCGGAGCGGCCGGGAGCAACGCGCGCTGCCGGGCGGGGCGCGCTGACCGCTGACCGCCGCGTTTCTCGCAGCGCGCCGTGGTGCGGATGGACGAGCGGCGGGAGGAGCAGATCGTGCAGCTGCTGAACGCCGTGCAGCCCAGGGCCGAGAAGGAGCAGGAAGCCATGTCGTGGTGGTCCGGGGACGAGGACGGGTAAGGAGGCGGGCGGGAAGGATTTCGCGGCGTTCTTCGGCGAGGACGGCGGATTGCTGGAGAACTGCCCGCACGCCGAGCGGCCGGGCGCTCCTCGGGCTGCCTGGGGGGTACCGTGGGACGCGGGGGGAGAGGGGGAGAGCGGGGTGAGGTCGGGGGCTCGGAGGTCCTTTCCGTTTTTGCCACGTGTTCGGCCCGCCTGAGGGGGCTGGCGGCGAGCGCTGCTGTAAAGGGCTCCGCCGCGTTGATTGTGAGCTTAGAGTTCCAGATTTTCTCTTAGGATCGCAAAGCCCTGCCTGCCATTGACCCCCACCCAGCAGGTGGCCGGAGCTTCTGAGTCCCGCACCTCGGGCACGCTCCTAGGCTGGCATCAGGCTCCCTTTTTCTGACGTTGTGCAGCGTTGGGAAGCTAGTGGTCTCTGTGAGGTAGGACTCAGTCTTAACGCTTTGTCTTAAAGGACTTTAAACAGTGTCAGTGAAATGAGCGGCTGTGTGTTATGTTCACGAGCTGGAGTGGTGCAGGTGAGTCCCTGGTTGAAAGACGCAGTTATGGAGCAGCAGTTCCAACAGCGCTTTGGCTGGCAGCTCTCTGAGGTGTTCTGTGGCCTTGTTAGCTTCCTCAGCAGGTAAAGAACACATTACACCTTAGATACTGTTGTAGAATCTTTGTTAACTGGTGGTTTTCAGACTTAATCATATTCATTTGTCACGTTCTCTTTAGATTAGGAGTCAAATAGCTTGTCGGCATAATTTCTCAGCAATAGATAAAAGGTTTGCTTGGCACAGCTCCCTGCGCTTTCCTCAGAGGCCAAATACGCGTTGGATAACCTCTGAAGTTTCTGTTCCCTGCACTCATTTCAGACATACTCCAGAACAGCCTCCAAAAGTGAAACCAGGTGCTGAAAAAGCTGAAAAAGCTCCTGTAAAACGGCGACCAGTCTTGGAGAAAACACTTCTTGATCAGGATGTGGAATATCTCTTTGAGAAAAGTGATCAAGATGCGAATTTAGATGAGCAGCTTAAAGAAGACTTGAGAAAGAAGAAATCTGATCCTAGATATATTGAAATGCAGGTACTTTCCCGGGTTAAGGAGAAAATAGATACTACTTTGTCAGAAAAAAAAAAGTCCATCGACATTTACAGGATGTGTCAGCAGGACAGGGATTAAAAAGGCAGACTGTCAGTGATGATTTCTGGTTGCTTAAAATCCGACATTTTAACTGTCCATATCGTTTAGTTGGGTGGCAGTTCTGGCTTTCTTTTTTAAGGATTTTGTTTGTGTATTTACTTATAAAGTTCAAAGTAGGGTCGTGGGCTCTGAGGGGACACCTCTTAAAAATGTAGTGCAAGTTATTCTGATGGCTGTATGTAGAGCTGCCCAATGAAATGTAGTTAGCATCCATCAGATGGGAAAATGGTTCAGGGTCTTCCAGCTGCGTGTACCTCATTATGTGCTGAACTGTTTTACGTTTTTACTGAGTGCAACGACATTGAACACGTGCATGGAATTAAGTTCAGGTCTGGTGGCCCCGTTCAGCCTAAGCTGGGGAGTTTGTCCTGTTGTTTCTGACTTCAGTCTAGGTCATAGTTGGAGTCTGCTGTATCAATTCAGTGTTGAAGTGGTATTTTAAAACTGTTACTTTCTCATTTCTCAGAGATTTCGAGAGAAACTCCCTTCATATGGGATGAGACAGGTAAGCGTGTATTTAAATTGAAAGGAGATGCATTTCTCATGTGAAGTTTGTGTAACTGGGACCAGTGGGAGGGAAAGCTTTCTTGCCTTCTATGAAGGTACTGAGGCCTCTAGAGCTTTTGTTTTTTCCAGTATGCCTCTCAGGTTTATTGCTTCGTGATATGCAGGAATTTATTCAACCTCATCGGTACTGGTGGCATTGTTCATATAAATGAGCGTGTGTGGGTTGGCCTTACGCACGTGAAGTTCAAATGTACAAGAATTACTTTTGTGTGGTGTAAAGTAAACTTCAGTATTAATAGAAACAGAAAATATCTGTCTCTTTAGTTACCCATGTGTTTTCCTTTAAGGTTGTGTTACAGTAACAGGGACTTACCAAAATACTTCAGACCTCTGCTGTGGATCGTAATACTGAAAAACATTTTGTCTTTTTTTGGAAACAGGAACTTGTAAACCTCATAAACAATAATCGAGTGACTGTAATAAGTGGTGAAACCGGCTGTGGAAAGACAACACAAGTGACACAGTTCATCCTGGACGATTACATAGAGCGAGGGAAAGGCTCCACGTGCAGAATTGTTTGTACTCAACCCAGGAGGATCAGTGCTATCTCAGTAAGTGCTGTGAGGTGGGGCTGCTGCTGTTTGTTTTCTTTAGTGTCTGACCTGTAATTCTGAGATACAATTACTGTCTCATTCTGTTTGAAAGAAAATGTAGTTTGTACTGGGCATAAGGAGCCAGTGTGAGTTAATTAGCTAAGTATACGGTCTGCTAGACTAATTATAGCTAAGATCTGAAGGAAATGACCAGATAAATACTGCACACCTCTCAAGGAGGCAAATCAACTCTCAGGTGGCATCATGCTGGACTTAAAGCTCAAGGTTGGCATTCAGCCAATTCATACTGCTTTCTATGTATTCATCAGTAGTCCTGCTAGACTCTTGCAAATGGCAGCTTTGTTAATACACACTGATGTGTCATTTCATGTGTTCTGGTAGGAGTTAGGATGCAAGCAGTGTACATTCCTGTACCAGGATTCAGTGATTTATAACGGTGCTTTTAATGGATCTGGGCGGTGAAGTTGTGAGTTGAAATGAACAGTGGTGTTGTTTCAGGCCTCTTAGAAGTCTATCAATAAGAATATGGCACTTAATTCTTTAAAACATATTTTGGGTTGCAAGCCTGTTTCTGAGTTGCTGACAAAAAACAATCATTTGGCTTTCAGAAAACGTGTGCTTTTCAGGCGTCTGTAGTCTGTGTTGCTTCTTGTTTCTAGCTATTTCCTACTGATGAGTAGCTAAACTGCAGCTCAGCCTTCTGGTTTTTTTGGTACATATACATTTAATGTGTAATACGTTTGGTTTTTTTGTTTTAAGGTGGCTGAGAGAGTTGCAGCTGAAAGGGCGGAAGCATGTGGTAATGGCAAGAGTACGGGATACCAGATTCGTCTACAGAGGTAGAAGAGGCTCTCTTGGCAACTTTTATTCCTTCTTGTGAAGTGGTATCTATTGTTACTCAAACAAGAAATAAGTGAGAATTAGTTCTCACTGTAGACAAGTGCTTTTACTCTCTTACTTTCTCCAAATGGAGTTCCTCTGAATGGCTGATATAGGGAATAATGGGTTGAAAGCTAGCAACAAGTGGGTATTACATTCTCTGTTGCATGTGAGTGAGTGGTTTGAGGTTGATCTGCAAAGTCAGTTCTGAATGTCAAGCTGTGTAGCAGTGGTTAGCACCAAACTATTAAGATATTCTACAAGGCCCTGCCATGGATAGAGGTGAAAGTGATGCCTCTAATCCATGAATTTCAAGGAGAAAATGAAATGCTGAAGAAGAATGTTGTAAGTTATATTTCTGGGCTCAGTTATGTATTTGCTGCACTGAGCAAATTTTATTGAGATCAGTTAATGAGAGTTAGGCTCATTAATAAGAGTCCATAGACCCAGTGCCACAGAACTAAAGTTACTGTGTTTGGAGTCATTAGTAATGCAAAAAAAACCATGGAACGCTTCCAGCAAATAACACCACCTCACTTAAGAATGATGGAAATACTGCTGGAGGGACACAGCAGCTCGGTCCTTGCAGTGTCTGAGCTCAAGGCACTTTTTCATTGATCTCACCTGCACTTGTCCTTAGTGTTTAATCAAGAACAACAGTGCTGTAGAATTTAGCCTCTAGCTGTTGTCTGTGTTGAGTTCAGGTAACTGTAAGAATTTGGATCAGCAGATGGATGTAGGAATGACGTTTGGGAAGCCAGAGATCTGGCAGTGGTTGTTCTCCATACAAAAGGGTGCATTGCTGGCCTATTCCTTGTTCCTCCAGCTGAACTGTGAGCAGGTTCAAGTGTGAGGTGTGCTTCAGTGTCCGTAATGACTGTCCGCGTTTCCATTTTAAGCTTCTGAAGTACTTTAAAATAAAGAACTGAAGAACTCTTAATGTATCTCTTCCAGTCGGTTACCAAGGAAACAAGGTTCAATTCTGTACTGTACCACAGGAATTGTCCTTCAGTGGCTCCAGTCAGATAAGTAAGTTTCCCTATTTAATAAGGAACCGAAAACGATTATCAAATGGTTTGACCAATGACTACATCTGTCAATCTCTGTTTTCTATTGCTGCAGAAAGTAAATGTTGAATGTTGTTCTTCTGTTTTAGGCATTTGTCCAGTATTAGTCATGTAGTTCTTGATGAAATTCACGAAAGAAATCTCCAATCAGATGTTTTAATGAGCATTATAAAAGACCTTTTGAATGTTCGCTTGGATCTGAAAGTAATCCTAATGAGTGCTACTTTAAACGCAGAGAAGTTTTCGGAGTATTTTGGTAGGTGACATGCTTCCTGTGAATGTTCCTTTTAAGTAATTTAGACATCTGTTACCTAATGCTCAAGTTACAAGATGGATTTTTGTCAGAACTAATGATTTCATTTTTCTCAGATAGTCACCAGCTGCTGGAGGGTCTTATTTCCTCAGTGCTGTTCCATAAGGAGCAGATGTTTCTGCTGTTGTTACCCAGACATATTGCAGGAATTCTCTGCACAGTGTTTCTGTAGTGAATATTTACTGTGGTTACTGCATGTTAGAAGTCATGAGTGGGCAAGCAGAGTGAAGCCTTTTGTTCTTCATATATCAGTGTTTATTCTCTAGCTGGAAAGAGGTGAGAGTGCAGGAGAGGGCAGTGCTGCCTGTGCTGCTTCTGTTCAGTCACTTCATTTGGAATTGAGTTCAGCATCTTCTGTGAGAATTCAAAGGGGGGGGAAGCAAAAAAAAAAACAACTCCATACTATATTGCTATAACTATATTGCAAAAACAGTGAAAAATGCTTGTGGACTTCAGTAGTGCAGCATTTTATTTGTTGTTTTAAAAACAACTTTCACCTTTCTCGATAGATAACTGTCCAATGATTCACATACCTGGGTTCACTTTTCCCGTGGTGGAATACCTCCTTGAAGATGTAATTGAGAAGTTGAGGTAAGAGTATTTTCTGGACACCACTGTAGTTCACAGTTTGGTTGGTTTTGGCATTTTATTGGTGTGTATTTTTTAATATTATTGCAGTATGAATAATATTATTAATATTATTGCAGTATGAATAACCTGCCAAAAAATCAGCTGGTTTAAGAAGGAAAATTGCACTGGAAAGCAGACATCATCTTGCAGAAAAGCTTTCAAGAGGCATTCAGCAGCTTTTAGTGTAGCAATCTGGGAACACTGGCGTTGAGGAGGAACAAATCCTGCTTTTTCTTTTGGTGTGGTGGATTTTTCAGGCTGATAAGCTAGCCTTTGATTTGTTTGTTTATTTCTCCCTGTTCTCATGCTTACTGGAGATGGCACCGTTATTTATCTTAAAAAATAGGTAAATTTTTTCAGGAGAAGTGTATCCATTTATCTCATTAGATGATAGGGCTGAAATACTGTGTGTTGTCCACAGTTTGGAAGAAACAGTTGTGCAGCTGGATCAAATGACTTCAGTTTCAAATGTAATTAAACTTGTTCTTTAACTTGAAAGATACACTCCGGAAAACACGGACCGTCGGCCACGGTGGAAGAAAGGTTTCATGCAAGGCCATATAAGCAGGCCAGAAAAAGAAGAAAAAGAAGAAATCTACAGGGAACGATGGCCAGAATATTTAAGGCAGCTGCGGGGCAGGTTGTTCTCACATTACTCTCTTACATTATTTGTGGTTTTTCTGTTTCTCAGCTGAGAAACAGAATTTTATTCTGTATTTTAATACTGTGTGCTTTCATTAATAATGGAGTACTTGATCTGTGGAAGATGGGAATGATGGAAGTGCCAGTACAGTTGGCTCTGACTGCTGGCATCATCTAGCCAGTCACAGAGATCTGCCTTCCTTTGCCTGTACAAGGTTTCAGAGAGCTTACAGCTGTCGGGTTCACTTGCTGCTGCTATTATTGCCCATTGCAGTCCTCAGCATAGCGCTGGGCTGCTTGTGCTTTGTTCCTGATTTCTTTTCTTGTCAGCTTTGCTTTGTTTCAGGCTTTTTTTTTATTTTTCAGTGGTAGATCTCACAGTATGGCACTCTTGTGATCAACATAATACAAAATGTGCTACTGTTCCTTCTTCCAAAAGACTTTTCCTCAGAATATTTCAATATGCCTCTCAAGTGGTTTGAAACCAAGCTAAAGCATTTTGCCTCTCAAGCACCCAGCAGAGATTTGCCACTTGAGACATTCCTTTTGCTTGCCAGCGTTTGACCCCTTTGGTTAATTAGGTAGTGGGACAATTGTATCTCAGGAACAGCATTTTTGTTTCCTTCTGTTTTATTTTACCTCTGCAGTTTGTGACATTCTAAGTATTCAGCTAGATAAAAATAATCAATAATAATAATGGCTCAGTTTTGTCTCCCTCCTAAGGAAACAAGTGATCAGTCTGTCTGTTCTGTCCCATGGTCCACTTGCCCATCTGTACCTCTTCGTCGCTTTCCCAACCAAGTCTGTGGAGCAGGTTGCTAATTGGTGTTAGGTTTCATGAAAAGGAAGGGCTGAAGAGATGAGGTGCTTCCTGTACTCACTGAGAGGGAGGCATGAATTGAAGGGGGAGCTCAGGCTACAGGTCCTACGTAACCCATGAGGAGGAGAGAAATTCATGCAGTCACAGTGACATTCTTTAACTTAGCTTGCTAACCTGGCAACGGCTGTTCTGAACAGAATCTTGAGAGCACGTTGTCTGTTCAAGTGTTGTATCTCCAGATGAAAAAAGAAATTGAACAGCAGCAGTGTACATGGATGAGTAATTGTGGAGCCTTGCAGTGGATGTGAGTGCATGGCTGGGTGTGGGTGAACCAACGTGCTTCCTTCTGCTGCCCGCAGGTATTCAGCAAGTACTATCGATGCCTTGGAAATGATGGATGATGACAAAGTAGACCTTGACCTAATAGCAGCACTTATCAGACACATTGTTCTGGAAGAAGAGGTATGTTTCTGTTTCACAGCTTTGTATTTTCAAGATACAACTGAATTGTGGCCAGTGGCTGTTACAAATAACTACCAACTTCATTCTTATCGTCATAGATACGAGGTCTTTTGAATGTTTTTAGAGCAATCTAGCATCTTTAAGTTGCAGTAACCTAATTGCAGTATTAATTTCAATTTCTACTTTCTCTCTATTGTTCGTGTTAGAGGAAGTGGCTCTTGGAATATAAAGACATCAAGTTCTGAGCCTGAGAATCCTAATTAGAGTCTCAGTAAAAAGGATTGTCCAGTAATAGTGTTAGGTATGTTGTTATCAGAGTGCTTCTGTGCTTGAAGGAAGAGTAACTTCTGTTATCTCAGGTAATCAGCACAGGTTACATAGAACATACAACCTGGAGTTATCTATTCATTTCTCTGTTCAAAACCAGCCATGGAAGAGCTGATACTTCAGCTGAGTTCTTGAAAAGAATTTTGGTTATTAAGAATGTCAGATTATTTGAAATTTCAACTGATAGAGCACTGAAGCTGTGGATAAACTTAGTGTGTCTTGTTTTGTTCTTCCTTGAAAACTCAAACATTAGCTTTTTTGTTTCATTGCAGCTCAGATTCTTCAAATGTTTGCATGGCAGCATCTAAAACACCACAGGGAAAATGTGTCTGAAAAGAAACTTGGGTTTCTTAAGCTTAGATAGGTGTGCAGTGCACTTTTTTTTTGTAGAAAATAAACCTGTAGGAGTTGTCCAAATGAGGAGGTTTCTCACTTAGCAAAAGGCATACATCAGTGGGCAAGGAGCTCTTTGGTTTTGTGCCCAGCACGTAACATTCTAACATGCTCCTTTTCCCATTCATTTTCTCACTTACCTACAGGACGGTGCAATTCTAGTGTTTCTTCCAGGATGGGACAACATCAGCTCTCTGCATGATCTCTTGATGTCACAAGTCATGTTTAAGTCGGGTAAAAAAAGAACAGTTTTTAACAGTGGTTAATGGTACATTGCTTTGTTTGGTTTCTAGAGGTTAATGCGAGCTGCTTCAGTAGAATAATGGGATGATTTCTGTAATCACAGATAAATACTGAGGTAGCTCACAGGTTTTTATGTTCTGAAACAGGAATGCATTTCAGAATTGGCCCTTTGTTGAAATGAGCAGCAATGTGGTGGTGCTAGTCTTGGTAAAAGACAAATTCTAAGAGCAATCTCTTGAGCTTAAAATGCAGTTTTAAAATGCAGTCATCCTTACAAAAAGGTTCTATTTCCCCCTCCCTCCCAGCCCCACATTTCATTATAGCTGGTGTTTAATTTGTTATAGTTGCATCTCCATTAGGATTTATCACCTGCATTTAACATTGATGTATTGAACTGCTAACAGAAAGCAGACGAGTCCATGTGCCATTATTCAGAATAAGAAATGGAAGCAGTCATTCATTTGCAGCATAGTTTCTCTATTCTGCATTCTTAGTTTTATTTTTTTCCCCTGTATGATTAAAGTTCCTGTGCTTACGCCACATCTTCTCTCATTTTCAGATAGGTTTATTATCATCCCTTTGCATTCCTTGATGCCTACAGTTAACCAGACTCAGGTAGGCGTTTTTTCTGTTACACAGTGAAGTAACATTTCACAACAACAGAAAAGAATAATTGTGCATGTGGTTGGTTTTCCAAGCATGTCAATGGGCTGTGGGTAATTGCAGGTGTTTAAGAAGACCCCGCCAGGAGTCAGGAAAATCGTGATTGCTACCAACATTGCAGAGACCAGGTGAGCAGCAGTCACACGTGCGTGTGGCCCCTGTCAGTTTGGTACAGCAAAGGAAAGCAGAAGCCTGCTTCATGTTCCACAAAGTGTGTTTTAAAGATTCATATCATTCATCTATTAAATCGCAAATGTGTCTCAAGATAAAGAACGAGCTGGAATTTTCTCCTGAGAGTTGTCTAAAAAAATCAAAATGTGGATGATGATATGACCTGCAGTTGTTGTGTGTGACAGCTGAGTTGGCTGTCCTCTGCAGGCTTCAAAACTGCACGTGGTGACTCATGCCAGACCTGTCAGAATAGAGCAGGCTTACTGTTGAACTGTTCAGTAATGCACTTATTAATGCATTTATTAATGACCAGTATTTTTGTTTCTTACTCTTGGTTTGGGAGGGACAAAGAAAGCCTAAATTTGTAAAACTGTAGGTTAAGCTTGCAAAGCTGGAGAGTTATTAATTTTCTCTTTATTTTTAAACAGCATTACAATAGATGACGTGGTGTTTGTTATAGATGGTGGGAAAATCAAGGAAACCCACTTTGACACACAGAACAACATCAGCACAATGGCTGCAGAGTGGGTTAGCAAAGCTAACGCCAAGCAGAGGAAGGGTCGAGCAGGAAGGTAAGGAGGAGGCTGGTTAGGAAACGTGGTGATGTTAACTTTCAGCTGGCCTTGAAGCACGTGTGTGCTGGAGGAGCTGCCTGCTGACCCACACCTTCAAAGCAGGCAGCTCAGCACTCAGTCACTGCTATGGGAGGAGCAATGTCATTGTTTTCCTAGCAGACTGATGAAACTTTGCTGTGTTCTAGGCATGAGTTTCTTTTCACAGAATGATAAATCTTGTGTTCTACTGTTTATTTACTTGTGTTGGTAGCATTTGCCCTCACTTTTGAGGCTACAATATATTAAAGCTAAAATTGCCTACAAATTAACACTGCTCAGCTCTGTACCAAATTATTGTGAGAAGCTTCTCTACATCTCAGAATTCCTTGTGGAGTATTTTCTGTTTCCTCCACACACCATACAGTTTTTCTCTGTTCTTCTCGTTGTTCCTTTTGAGCATTGTTTTGTGGCTTTGTTTCCCTGTTGATGGGTCTGCATATCTGAAGCTGCAGTAACTGTTACACCTGTAATAAATCCATTCCAATTTCCAGAGTGTTTTGAAGAACTACTTACAGGTGAATGCTTATAGTGTAGGTGAATGCAATCACTGTGTCCCAATGTCATGAAAAACCCATATGTTTTTTTCCTTTAAATCTATTCCAGAGTGCAGCCAGGCCACTGTTACCATCTGTACAATGGGCTGCGTGCCAGCCTGCTGGATGATTATCAGTTACCAGAGATCTTGAGGACACCTTTGGAAGAGCTCTGCTTACAAATCAAGGTAGGCATTTCATCAGAGGTGCTTCTGTGAAAATGCCAGTGAGTGAAGGGAGGATTCCTTAACATCAGTTCTGGGTAAAATTCTTCTCAGGCAGCCACAGGTTTCCTTTTTGCAAGTTTATGCTGAATACCAGCACATACCTAAGGAATGCCTTGTGTGTGCATTCTGAATGAAGTAGTAGAGATGTGGTGAGATTTTTCAGCCAACACATTTCTATTTTTGCCCTTGCTCAATTACCAAAATCCTAAATTCAAACTGAATTACTTGCATCTTTTGTAATCAGCACGGTCACTGTGCTCTGGTTTTAGGTAGGTAGCCACCTTTCTCCAATTGCTGCAGGTTTGCTGTTTCTGTTTGCTCTCTTCCAGATTCTAAAGCTTGGTGGAATTGCTTATTTTCTGAGTAAACTCATGGATCCACCATCTCGTGATGCTGTAATGCTGGCCATTAATCATCTGATGGAGCTGGTAAAGTATTAATTAACATCCTGTTTCATGCATGCAAGGAAAATCGTTACTTTTGGTGTTTGGTAGGAAGATTATTCTGGCTGCACAAGGTCCAGACATTTGAAACACTACATTATGCAGACCCTTTATATGTTCAGACTGTACAGTGTTCTGCCATCTTGACTGAACAGAGAAGGCAGTTTCACATCATGCAGCACATAAACTTCCAGGATTAAGCAGTTCCTGAATTGCTGAAAACGCTTGGCACAGCTTTTAGATTCCCTACAGATACTTTCCTGGGTATTTCTGTAAAACCCTGCTGGTGTGTGATTGTATCAAGAGTTCCAGCCAGATCATTGGAGAGTTGGAGGTGTGTTTTCTGTGGGCAAATAAGAGAAAGGTCTCATCTGTGAGTGTTTTTGGATGGTGGGGAGGGAGAGATCAATGACGTGTTCATATTACTGGCTCCTTGCCCTGCCAAGGCTGTGTGAGTAGCAAAGAGTAAAAGAAATAAAAACCAGAAGTGATAGGAACAGAAAGGTACAGATCTGGAAAACATGCTTGGCCAAAAGAACAGGAGGGCACTCAAATGTTAATCAGTCTTCATACTTCTGTACAGAAGGACACTGACCAGTAACCACGTGAAACACAAAGGCGGTTGCTCTTTCATTGTATCTCTTGAACGTTTCCACTTCTGCATCACTTCATGGTCATTTTCCTGCCTCTACCCCCTCATTAAAGCCAGCTGCCTTCTCCAGATACTAGGCCTTCCTTTGTTTTCTGAGTTTTCCAATGATTGTTTCAGGGAAATCCTCCAACTTCAAATCTCAGTAATACTTTGTTTTCCTTTCTGACAGAACGCTTTGGACAGGCAGGAGGAGCTGACTCCGCTCGGCGTACATCTGGCACGGTTACCAGTTGAACCACATATTGGAAAAATGATCCTCTTTGGAGCTTTGTTCTGTTGCTTGGATCCAGTACTTACGATTGCAGCAAGCCTTAGCTTTAAAGATCCTTTTGTCATTCCTCTGGTAACGTTTCTAAAACAGGAATTAAGATTTTAAGAATCTCTGAAGAATGTTAGAATCCCTGTACTGATACAGTGTAGTGTGGGAGCACTTCAGTCTCACTTCTGTGTCAATTGCACTTCTTATCAGTACTGGTTGCCCACACGTACTGTGATGTACTACTACACATTTGCCTGCAGAGTATTGGAAGTAGCATTGCTTTCTGTGCATGCTGCATACAGAGTATTGCTTTATGTATGTCCACTAAGCTGGGGAAGAGAACTGGGTGGAGGAATGGCCTGTGAGTCATGAATACTTTCTAAATTGCAATTGTTTTTAGGGCAAAGAGAAAGTGGCAGATGCCAGAAGAAAGGAGCTGTCGAAGAATACTAAAAGTGATCATCTGACTGTGGTGAATGCTTTCACAGTAAGGATGCTTTAATGTTTCTCTTTCAGAAGCTTTTACTTGAGCTTTAAGCTTTATTCTAAGGAAAGATCCGATCTGTGTGTGCTCTCAAGTATTTCTTGGTTCTACCAAAACAAAACCAAATTAGTTTTCACCCTTGTAGCCTCGTTTTCCACCTCAGTAGCCGAATTTCTCATGGATGTGCTGTGGGAAACATAACTTCATGGTAATCTTGGTGCTCTAAACCTGTGATTGATGAGAGATGAGCTCAGTATGCTGTAGCAGCCCTTCAGAAGTCACTGAGTCAGTGCTTCTCGTGCTCTGCAGTACGGTGGGGCTGACTTCAGAAGTGTTCTGTGTAGCGTTGGGCAAGGAGGCCACTAAATGAATGGTGTGGAAAAATGGTTGCTACTTCTAATGTCAGCAAATAAATTTATGGCAAATTTGACTAGATTCCACTTCTCACCATTCAAAAATGTTTCTCTACTCAAATGCTGTGTATGTAATATAATACAGAGAGTTGGAAAGGTCTGCTTTCTCTCTCATAGAGGGGAAAAAAAAGGTAATTTTTGTTGACCTCCAGTTTTTTTGCTCTCTTTATTTGTTTAATTTTTGTTAGTAAATTTTCTCCTAAAAGATTCCTTTGAAAGATGGTTTGAATTTCCAGGGCTGGGAAGAGACTCGTCGGCGTGGATTCCGAACTGAGAAAGACTATTGCTGGGAATATTTCCTGTCTCCAAATACTCTCCAGGTAACATTCTGGCTGTTAGGGGCAGGGGAAGAGAAACATGTTGATGGGGAATGGGAAGAGGTGGTTGTTTGGTTTTTTTTTTTGCACAGCATCGTTCTGGGACTCTTGTTGTTGTTGTTGTTTCCTAGATGCTGCATAACATGAAAGGACAATTTGCTGAGCATCTGCTTGCAGCTGGGTTTGTGAACAGCAGAGACCCCAAGGATCCCAAGTCTAATACCAACTCAGGTAAATGATGAGGGAAACTGAAAGCTTTTGATCAGTCAGATTCACAGTTGGCAGAACCATGTTACTTACTTTGCTGTCTTCTACAGATAATGAGAAGTTGCTCAAAGCTGTCATCTGTGCTGGCTTGTATCCAAAAGTTGCAAAGATCCGGCCAAGCTTTAGCAAAAAGAGGAAAATGTAAGGATTTGTGTGACCTTTGTTTGCATTGCAGGTAGTTTCTGTATCAGGTAGAGGGGCAAGGCAGAGCAATGGCTAAAATGCATGAATGAATCTCTCTGTACAGATCCTCCATGGGTGTGGGTTACCTCATTTGAGAGCGACAGATCTGAGATAGAATTGCTGATCTTTACTTACAGGAACAGAGATGTTGTCTGACTGTCTGGATATTGGCTGATATGTGAAATAATTGGTGTGACATTATCATACAGTATGTGATGCTAAACGTTAATAACACGGCTGCAGAAGGAGACGCTGTCATTTTCTTCTACCTGCAGCAGCAGTTGAAACACTGTCCCCTCTTGTTGTTTGTCAAGACAGAACCCAGCAATTCTGGTCTTTTCATCTAACACTTGTCATATTGTCAGGCTCTTCATTCTTAATAACTGTTACTCCTAATAATACATACTTATGAGAAGGGATATTTATGCTCTCATGAACATGATTTAAGACAGAGTGAAGGGTTGAACATTTGGATCAGCTTTCTGAGCAAGTAATGCAGAAACAGCAAACTTAAGAGCAATCACTGTGCCTGGAATTAAAAACAAAACAAAAATTAGTGATTTTTTTCCATAGCAAATATAAGTGTAGGTGGTCAGAGTTCTGCCTAATTTAGTTCTGTCTGCAGCTGGCACTACCTCTGGTCAGTTACTTCTCCATTTTAAACTTAAAAGGGTGTGCTTAAAATTACCTTAACGATGCACTTAACAGAAAGTTTACCAGTCTGATGGAAGTTGCTGTGTTTTTGCATCTTGCTGGATATAAACCAGCTGCAGGGAAGATTCAACTCTGAGATCCAGCAAACACAAGATTTGTTGCACTCACCCCTTTGCTGGACAGGCTGGTTCTGCTGAGCTGTCAATATCTTCTTTTTTTTTTTGAAGGGTGAAGGTTTGCACCAAGACAGATGGAACAGTGAATATTCATCCTAAATCTGTTAATGTGGAAGAAACAGAGTTCCATTACAACTGGCTGGTGTACCACTTGAAGATGAGAACCAGCAGTGTACGTGGAGCTTTATGTTTGTGTAATTTGATTTATGTAGCTCTTCAATGAGGCTCAATTGAGATGGAGGGAGTTATTGAACAGTAAGAGGGAGTGCCTCTTACTGTGGCCCAGAAGGTATGGAGCAGCTCTGTTTGAAGCTTTCCTCTTTCAGGCCATGTGTTTGACGCTCCCTCAGGGTCTGTTCCCTGTAATACTGGTGGGGTTGTTCCATAAGTAACTGAAGCACCAGCTTCTGCTAGGTGCTTGCTTCTGCTTTTAAATAGAACAGTGTATTTTGTATTTCCAGCCAATGTAATGCTTCTAAATATGCTGAGAACCCAAATGCATTGAGAACTCTCTTCTTCCTGTTTGATTGCTACTGGGACAATTAGTTCGATTCTTCACTTTGTGTAAATGACTGCATTTGGGACCATTTTTGCTCCTGTTTCATTTGGTGTAACTCTTCCAGCTGAGTTGCTTCAGGTTTGCTTTGCAATGAATGACTGAAAAAATGATCTGCCAGAATTGTGCTTTGAGTTTCCTGAATGGCTGTGATGTCAGTTGAGATGCTTTCAAGACTGACTGGAAAATTTTGTCGTCTTGCAGATCTACCTGTATGATTGTACAGAAGTGTCTCCATACTGTCTGCTGTTCTTTGGAGGAGACATATCCATTCAGAAGGATAAAGACCAGGACACCATTGCTGTGGATGAATGGATAGTTTTCCAGTCTCCGGCAAGAATAGCACACTTAGTTAAGGTGACTGTGTTCAATAATGGTGTGTATGGAATCTCAGTGTAGCAGTAGCTCTCCTTAGAGACCTTGTATCACTGTAGAGGTATAACAGATCAGTTATTTTTCATGTATTCCCAGAAAATATTCTAGGTACGATAGGTAAACAAAATTTATCTTCTGAAGGTAAGTGTATGAATGCAGACTAAATGGGGGTTGGAGATTCATGATCCTTGAGTTCCTTCCAACCCAGGTCATTCCGTAAACAGTGGTGGTAAAAGTAGCATTCAGGACAGCTGAATTCCTGTGACAAAGTGGGCAGAAGCAGGCAGTGATGACCTCCATGGTGTCTGGCCTTAGGAGCAGGCACTCCAGATTCGTAGCCTTGAGTTTTCAGCATAGTAGCTGCACTGATGGGGATGAGGTTTGTGCTGCTCTTGCAGTGCTGAAAGGAGGTGGTGTTCAGCTGTGCAGCCTCTGCTGAAAAGTCTGGGGGATGCTGGAAAATTCTGGAGGTTTCAGAGAAGTGTTGGAGGGCAGAGGGCAAGGATTTATGAACATGTCTTACAGGAAGAGAATCGAAGAGTGTGATTTCTGTAGTTTTCTGTAGCAAAAGCTCTGTGTGCCCATGAAGTAACCAGATGGATGTGGAAATGAGAGGATGGTGCTTCAGTTGGCAGTGATGCTCTCCAATGGGAAGAGGAGCTGAATGCAGCTGTATATTACATCCTAGAAATGGCACCTGATTTCTTTTTTTCTAAACCTGAATACTTTTAGACCTGAAATAGTCAGCTAATGAGTGAGTAAGCCAGCAGTGATTGTGTCATAAAAGGCAAAATGCTCGTTTTAGAAAGCTGCCTTTTGATGCTAAAGATTGCAATGTTGAAATGAATGCATGTGGGAGCAGCAGGAGTAGGGATGAGAGGGCAGAGGGCTCTGCTTGATGGGGTAACGCTGTGTGTTTTCTCATGGGCTCTCTTTCTTTCTCTTTCTCTCTCTCTCCCTCTCTCTCCCCTTCCACCTTTCACCCTCCGTCTGCAGAATTTAAGACAAGAGCTCGATGATCTTCTCCAAGAGAAAATAGAGAACCCCCACCCTGTGAACTGGGACGACACTAAATGCAGGGATACAGCAGTACTGACAGCCATTATAGACTTAATCACCACCCAGGAGAATGAAAGTGCCAGGAATTTTGCTCCGCGATTCCAGAGCGAGCGCTACAGCTGATGCACTTCAGCTGCTGCGTAAAACCGGCGTCCCCTGTTTTGTTTCGTTGTTGATAGCAGTTACTGAGCTGGAGGGAAGGCTGAGGGCAGCTCCTGCAGCAGCGTGTCTGTGTGTGCATGTCTTCTGTGTCGCTTTTTAAATAACAAAGCAGCAACGTTAGCAGTGTTAGTTGGTGTACGTTCGGTTCCGTCCCTCCTCTTAAGGCCCCTTAAGGCTGCGGCGTTCGTTCCTCACCCGCTGCAGCCGCTCCAAGGACGGCTCCCGCTCAGCTCGCTGCGCAGCGCTCCTCAGCTGTCGTTGATGACGAGAGGCGGCCGTGCAGCGAGCGGCTCGTGCTGCGCGCGGTGCTGGGGAGGGAACGCTGCAGCGCGGCCCCGCTCCTGCCCCTCCGTGCCTTCTGTGCCCCTCGGCGCCGAGCGGGACCCCGTTTCCGGTCGCGGTGGAATCCGCCTGAAGGTTTCGTTGTGTTAAGTTGTTTTTTTTTTACTCTCCGTGTCACATTAAAGGACTTCTCTCCCAGGCGCGCTGTCGGCTGCTCTCGGCCCGCCTTGCAGCTCGGCGCCGCTGCTCGGGGCGGCGCGCGGCTGCAGGTGCGGAGATTGCGGCGGGGCGGGGCTGCGTGCGCGGCTCCAACGGTTCCAACGGCTGTGGCGGCCCGGGAGGCGGCGGCGCTGAGGTGAGAGGGGCGGCGGGGCGGCGGGCGGGACGGTGGCCCCGCGGCTGGGTGCGGTGGCGATGCGGCCCTGAGGGTGGCCGCAGGCGGGGGGCGCCGCAAGGCGCAATGCGCTCCCGAGGGGCACCGGGCACCGCTCCGCCCCGCTGCCTTTCGGTGGCGCTCCCGGGGCCTCGCGTTGTTCTCCCGAGGCCGTTCGCGGATCGGCGCGCCGTGCTGGGCTCCGTGCTGGGCCGTCCCGATCTGCGGCTCCGCGGAAGGTGGGTGCGGTGCGGCGCTGCCCCTTTCCTTGGGCGCAGAGCAGCGTTGGGCGATGGAGGACCCGCTTGTTTTCGGCTTTAAGGCCGCCTGTAGTGATTGTAGTGGTGATTTTTAAAGGGCTCGGTTCTTAAAGAGAGACGTTGTGTCGGTTAGGTTGCGGGGCCGGCGTGGAGCGGGTGCGGGGCGCGGTGAAGACGCAGCAGTCGATCGGTGCCGCTGCACAGGAGGGTCGGAGGCCGGTGCGGGAGCGGTTGGAGCTCGGGAGCCCCGGGGCTGCGTCCCGCAGCGCGCGGCCGGTGGGGAGCTGCGATGGGAGCCGCGAGCTTCGTGCTGTGGGGCAGCGGCGCGAGGGTTCCGGCTCGGGCGTTCATTTCGCAGCGGCAGACTCGGCCTCGTGCTCGCACAGCTGTGTCTGGCCGCTCGTCTGCTCTCCGTGCGCGGCTCTGCTCTGATGAAGGTCACCGCAGCGGGCCCTTGGAGCAGCGCGGTGCTGGGGGGTGGCAGAGCAGAAGGCCTTAATGCCAGCAGGGAGTTTCTGGTCCTTCTCTCTGAGATCTCAGAGGCCCATCTCAGAACAAGTCAGAACGGTGACTTCTTTACGGGCAATAAAAACACAGGGAAGGTGCTAGGAGGCAGAAACAAAAAGCAACAAACCCTCTGAAAATGTGTTTGTACAAACTAAAGGAAAGCTTTGTGTAAAGGTGAACTGCTTGTTATGATGCCTTCAATTTGAGATGTCTGAGAGCCATGGGGGAATTCAGAGTGGCATGAAAGCCAAAGGCTGTGAGCACTGCAGGCAGGATGGCTGTTCTGGGCACAGCTGCAGGCCTGGTGCCTCACCAAACCAAACATTGTGTGGGCTTTTGTTCCAGGTGTGGGAGATGATGGGTCCCAGGCTGGTGCTGCTGCTGTCAGCTGCTTTAATGGAACCCTCAGTGCTTTTCAGGGGGTCCTGCTTTATCAGGCCAGCAAAAACTCCCCTCTCCAATTTTGTGACTTCTTGTAATCCTTTGTTTGGGCTGCGCACAGGTGGTGCAGTGAGGCGGCCCAAGTGTAGCCTGATTGTGGTGGCTGCACCTGAGCAGGGAGGGCAGAGCTGAAGGGTTCCCAGCCCAGGTGTTCTGCTACAATTTGTAGGAGGGAGAGGAGGTTTAATATCTGTATACCCAGCGTGAGATCAAGAAATGTTCAGATGTTGGTCCAGCCAGTTTATTACAGTCTTAATTAGGGAGATGGGGAAGGGGAGAAGAGGCACTGTTATGAATTAAGGTAATGGGGAAGGGAAGGAGGGCGATAGAAAAGATAGGAAAGAAGAAGTAAGGAGTCATTATAGGAAGCAAGAGGGAGACAGTCACCAGCATGGATCCAGCATGGTTCATAGTTCAGTCACTGATCTTCAGTAGTGGTGGGTGGTGGCTGTTGTTCTGTTGAGGATGACGGTGACCACGGTGATGATGGTACCTTTTCAGTGGTAGTGAAGTGGTCGAGTCAGCTCTCCTTGGAGTGGCAGATTCTGGCTTTGGGATCTCAGTGGAAATTCCTTTGTTCCCATCTTCCTGGCCTTGCCAGCAGATGAGAGGGAGCAGGGAGGCGCCAACTTGTATCTTCACAGGATGCAATGGCATCATCCCCCAGTGTCCCGTAGCAAACAGGAGTTATTTGGTCACAGGCCAGATCTTCCACCCGAGAACAGTCCTGAGCACTATCTTCTGAAGATAAACAGCTCCAAAGAAATGCTATCAAATGTAAAATTGTCCACACAGTGATGTTGAGAGACAGGTGTTGCTGTGTGGCAATCATCCCCTAGAGTCTTATCAGAAGAAATAGCTCAGAAAGCAAGCTTTGAGCCAGAAAGAAGGATTCATACACCAGGGCAGGAGGCAGGCAGGTGAGGCTGGCCCCGGTAGTCACTGCAGCCCCACACAGGGCGCTGGAGGAGCTCTGTGCTGGGCGCCTCTGTGTGCTCCTCTGCAGCAGCTCCCTGCAGTGCTGGGTCGGGTGGGAGCTGGTTGTGCTGGGCAGGGGAGGGCTGTGCTGGAGAAGCAGCTGCAGCATGAAGGGAGCTGACTGCTGGGCTGGGCTGCTACTGCTCACAGGTGCAGGTGTGGCCTTAGTTGACACATTACCCTTTGGACACTAAGAGCTGTGTTATGTGTTACAAATTGAAGTATTCTTTCCGCAGTTAGTGTAGCTACGTCATGAACTGATAACTGATAACTGATATCCACCCAAGAGTGCTGAGGGAACTGGCGGAGGTGATAGCCGAGCCGCTTTCCATCATCTATCAGTGCTCCTTGTTGACTGGTGAGGTCCCAGAAGACTGGAGGCTTGCCGATGTGACTCCCATTTATAAGAAAGGTCGTAAGGTGGATCCAGGGAACTACAGGCCTGTTAGCCTGACCTCGGTGCCAGGGAAGGTTATGGAGCAGATTGTCTTGAGGGAGATCATGCGGCATGTGCAGGGTGACCGGGGGATCAGGCCTAGCCAGCATGGGTTCGTGAAGGGCAGGTCCTGTTTGACCAACCTGATCTCCTTCTATGATCTAGTGACCCATCTGGTGGATGAGGGAAAGGCTGTTGATGTGGTCTACCTAGACTTCAGCAAAGCCTTTGACACCATCTCCCACAGCATTCTTCTGCAGAAGCTGGCAGTCAGAGGCTTGGATGGATGCACTCTTGGCTGGGTAAGGAGCTGGTTGGAGGGCCGGGCACAGAGAGTGGTGGTGAATGGAGTCAAATCCAGCTGGCGACCGGTCGTGAGTGCTGTTCCCCAGGGGTCGGTGCTGGGGCCTGTCCTCTTCAATATCTTTATTGATGACCTCGATGAGGGCATCGAGTGCACCCTCAGTAAATTCACAGATGACACCAAATTGGCTGGAAGTGTGGATCTGCCTGGGGGTAGCGAGGCCCTACAGAGGGATCTGGACAGGCTGGAGAGCTGGGCTGAAGCCAATAGGATGAGTTTCAACAAGGCCAAATGCCGGGTCCTGCACTTCGGCCACAACAACCCCAGGCGACGCTGCAGGCTTGGGGCAGTGTGGCTGGAGGACTGCGTAGAGGAAATGGACCTGGGGGTATTGATTGATGCTCGGCTGAACATGAGCCAACAGTGTGCCCAGGTGGCCAAGAAGGCCAATGGCATCCTGGCTTGCATCAGAAACAGTGTTGCAAGCAGGAGCAGAGAGGTGATTGTTCCCCTGTATTCAGCACTGGTGAGGCCGCACCTCGAGTACTGTGTCCAGTTTTGGGCCCCTCACTGCAAGAAAGATATTGAGGCCCTGGAACGTGTTCAAAGGAGGGCAACAAAGCTGGTGAGGGGTCTGGAACACAGGGCTGATGAGGAGAGGCTGAAGGAGCTGGGAATGTTCAGCCTGGAGAAGAGGAGGCTCAGGGGAGACCTCATTGCTCTCTATAACTTCCTGAAGGGAGGCTGTAGTGAGCTGGGGGTCGGCCTCTTCTCTCGTGTCATTAGTGATAGGACCAGGGGGAATGGCTTCAAGCTGCGGCAGGGGAGATTCAGGCTGGACATGAGGAAGTGTTACTTTTCAGAAAGGGTGGTCAGGCACTGGAACGGATGCCCAGGGAGGTGGTGGAGTCACCGTCCCTGGGGGTGTTCAAGGAAAGGCTGGATGTTGTGTTGAGGGACATGGTTTAGTGGGAGCTATTGGGAATAGGTGAACGGTTGGACTGGGTGATCTTTTAGGTCTTTTCCAACCTTAGTGATTCTATGATTCTATGATTCTAATTTCCATCTCTGCTATGCCATGAAGCTTTCCTATCCTTCCCTCCTCCCTCAAAGGCACTGCTGGCAGACCAGGCTTTAGAGGCACACAGCAAAGGTAGGCGACTGCTTTCCTACTGTCCTGTTCCTTCAGACAAGTGACCACAGCCCTGTGTAGCTCTGTGGCTTCTTCCCTTGCTCAGTTGAGCTGTTCTCCCACACCGCTGTGGTTCACTGCTCCAAGTTCACACAGACACTGAGCAGGCAGGGCAGCGCTGGTTCAGACACACAGAACTTCCCTGACAAGAATGCTGCTAATGGCCGGCACTGCAGTGCTCCGTGAACAGAAACTGAGGCTGTATTTTGGTAAGGATTTTATTGATTGTTGTCCTATTACATCATAACAGTCTTTGATTCCTTAAGAACCGTGTCTGAGAATAAGAAAAAGGCTTTTAAAAAATATTACAGCACTTTTGGAAAAAACAGGTATGAAAAATATATACAGTGTATTAAAAATCTGAATAAAATTAATGCCTGGATTTATACATTCGGTTATGTGTTAAACATCTGCCTGTGTACAATAAGTCCTTCGTTAAAATATTAGCAGTATTTCTACTATGTTAAATAAGGCTTTGCTCAGTGATCAGTCTGTATCACTGCCATTTTCTCAGTCCACTTCTTATAAATTAATCCCGAAGGCTGGAAGCTGCTGTCAGCCTGCCAAAGGAAGCATTTCTGTACAAATGTCTTCCTAACAGCTTTTCAATTGTTACAGAGGTACATATTTACAAAGTTATTCACACATCAGCACATTACATTCTGTGTAAAGCAGTGTCCAGAACCTTTTAACAACCACGAGGACTGACAGCATGCCTGCTACCACACATCTTTCTCTCGCTTAATGCAGCCTGCAGCCTGCTCTGTCACGAGCCGCTCCATACGAAGGTGGAGATGACTATAATACAAACTGTCACATCTACATACAGAAGGGAGGAGCTGGAAGTGACTTAATTCTGAGTGCATTCTGTTCACACCGTATTAAGTAGTTCTTTTTTTTCAGTGGAATTCCAAGGCTAAATTGCAGATGCAAAAGCAGGCGTTGTGTGAAGTGCAACTGTGAGAGGCCAAGAAGGGTGTGTGTGAAGCAGCACCAGTCAGAGCTCCTCCAGCCCAGGGCTCCCCTCCTGCTCTGGGGTAGGAGAGGACAGAGATGCCCACTCTGCTTCCACACCTCTCCTTGCTGCTGCCCTGAGTTCCTATGCTGAAGCTGAGCAGCTTCATCAGCCCCGTGGGTCTTATTACTGCCCTTCTGCTTTTGCCTGTGGACTCAGGGTGATGCTAACAAATGCTAATGATGATATTCTGCGAACTCCAGTTCGGTGAACTTTTACCTCCACAGAAGGAAAAAACTCATTTCTGCAGCAGAGGAAGAAGGAAGAATTAAAAAAAGATAGGAAAAAGCACTTCATGTTCACTGTAGGCCCCATCCAGGCAATAACTTGGCATGAAGATGTAACTCAGCACCTGGGAAAAACTAAAAACAGGCAGATTTCCAGCAGTTACAGTGCTTTAAAACACCAGGAAAGAGCCTGTGAGTGCAGGCATCTCAGCTCTGAACCACAGCACAGGGCTCAGGTTGTTGATGCTAGTGAGAAAAAAACCACATTCCTATGTTATGCATATGGCTGCATTTCTACAGCTTGAAATTATTTTTAGTACTAAGTATTAAAAAAAAGGGGCTCAATCTTTAAAGGGCCAACTTAGCAAAGAATACTGGCAAAGCAATCGCTGCCACAAAGGCAGCCAGAGCTTGAAGAGCTTTTGGAGTGGAGACACAGGACAGAACAGCCTCTGCACTCAGCACAAACTGGATTCCAGGAAACTCCTCCTAGAGGAACAACGTAAGGCACATAAGGAGGACACTGGTAGAAGGACATCAAAGGGCTCAATCTCTGTATATTATTATTCTTAATGAAAACAAGCTCGAGTCTGATGTTCATGCTAAAAAATGTATCAGAGAATGAGACACTCATCTTTATTTTGAAAAGCTGGTTCCTCTTGCTTGCTTTCACAATTCCTTTCTGGAGCAGCAGGAAGAGAGCACGAGCTGTATGAGAAACACACAGCACAGCACCACCACACGAGCTCCGGCTGGCTCCCCTGGAGCTCATCAGCTCAGTAACTCACTGTGTCCTACAGAATCTGGCTCACCCTGGGCTGCTGCTGGACAGGCAGTCCTTCATCAATTACATGCTGCTTCTTGCAGCTCAGGTTAAACAAAGGTTTTGACAACACAGGGAAGTATCCCATTTGACACCGTTTCTGGTTCTGGGAATGTAACACTGCAGTTTTTAGGAGCTGGAACTCTGTTCCCCCACTGTTACGCTCCTGTTCTCCTTCCAGCTCAGTGTATGCATTTATTTGGTGAGCTTCTGGCATTCAGCCTGCTAGAGAGGGGTTTTAAATTTAAAAGAAAGAAAGTGAAAATCATCAAGAAAACAGATGGAAAAAGAATACAAACAGGGATGAGGGAACCAAAGCTGAAAGGGAAATCTCATTTTAAGAACAAAGAATGGCTGATCTCCACTGCCCAGGAATCTAATTCTCATAGAAACTGCCATTACTGAAGCCAGGCGTCAGTTCATAGCTCTCAAAATGCGAATCAAAAGGGCTGAGTATCAGTGCTGTCACTGTATTTAATGCATCTGGGCCTCACGTCTTCCATGCAAGAGCTGTAGTGTGTGCAGCTGTGCCCCCGCTGACAGCAGTTCAGTGCAAATCCTGCAGCACAATATGAGGATGCAGAAATCATCTACACGTTGGTTTCAAGTCCCAGCAGACGCCCCATGCGCTCCATGTTCTTGTCAATGGTGGCACGACACGTGATTTCCTTGGCACACTCCATGGGAAACCACCCTCTTTCACCATCCCGCAGTCGTTCCCCTTCATACCAACCTGCAAAATGTGAACAAAGAGTGAGAACCCTTCTCAAGGCCTTTAAAGACACCGTGGCAGCACTTTTCAGCGGTGCACAAACCTGGTGCCTGACAAAGTGCCCAAGCTCTACATTTTTAGACAACTCAATTTCACGTCTGTGGATATTTCACATGTCAAAGCCACCCAGCCCGTTCCGTCCCCAAGTCTTTTCTGTGGGCTACGACAGGGACGAGATACAAGTGCTGCTTAAACAGAGGCTGTCCTTTGGAAACCTGAACCAAAAGACTCAAGTTTTAATTGGAAGCTAATGAGGAAACAAACTGTCATCCGCAGCGCTGACAGGTGGTTACACTACTCACCATCATTCACTTTTTGATAAACCAAAACAACATCAGCCACTTGAAGAGACAGCTCGTCTGACTGCTTTGCTGTGTAAGTTCTGATGATCTCTACCTGTGTCAAAGCTGTGGAAGAAAAGAAGCGGAGGTACAAAATTCCTGTAACAAATCTTCTGTTAGGATGTGTACGTCCTTAACTTAGAATGTTCTCCCAACTCCAAAAAACCAAAACCCAAAGGCAACAGCAAGCGGCTTCCCCACCACACAACAAACTGACTGAACACACGGGACGGGGCTGCGCTCTTCTGTTAACAGACTGGAACAGCTCACCAAACACTGATGAACAAACAGAAACCATGGAGCAAAACAGAACTCCAAGTGCCTGTGGACAAGGAAGGGGTGGCGACTCCACATGTACTGCAGTAACAGAGCCCAGGAAAAGCAGGGGTCTGTACAGCATCCATGTACTGAAGGCACCACTAAGGGGCAGTGCGTTTCCAGTCCCACGTCACAGTGCTCACTGCTGCTGGTAGCTGAACTTACTGGTTCTGTCTGTGCTCTGCCTGTCTCTGTCTTGTCCAAGCACTGTAATCCAGCGAGCTCTTTCACTCCTGCAAAGAGCAAAACCAAGATGATGATTATATCATCTATGTAATGCACCTCATGTCTGAAGCATCTGACAAACATAATAAAGCTGTTCTAATACAAGTATCCACAGCAAGGCTTAGCAGCACAGTGCACTTAGAATGAAAAGCAAGAGTCAGGAAAACAAGTTCTCCATGCACACACAGGGCACGTTTCTGTTTCCAGATGTGCTGATGTGGGAAATTTGAGAGACAAATCAAGTCCTGGGTGGAGGCCTGAACACATCACTGGGCTTCGGATTGTCCGTCAGCATTTCTGAGGACAGCAGAAAGAATTATTGAGATTCTAAGCATCGTGCCACATACAACAACAAGTGCAAATTACTACAGCTCAGCTTGAGTAGAAGATGCAGAAAACCAGAGAGGAAAATAAAGCTAATCCTCACCCCAGGTAACCGCCAAGCTAAAAATCTACTCGCTCTAGCTTTGAATTTTGGCAAACAAGGGTGTGAATTCCATTTCAGTAAATTGGTTTTATCTCCTGTTTGTTGAAGGGCTTTGCTGTCAGTACAGGTTAGAATAACATGAGGGAGCTGCAGGGCTGAAGGACTTTTGTTGCTGCCACTGGTTTTAACTCAGAGTAATGAACATCTGCCTTCCCTAGAAGCCTGATCTTTTCACAAAACATCTGAGGACACACTAAACTTGTTTCAACCAAAACGTGAAGGAGCACACAGTGTTTTGCATGTGCTTAATTTTGTTCTTCGCTTTAGAAGCATGTTACAGATTCACACTTTCTTAACACAAGAATTGCATTTTCTTTCAGACAGATGACAAAAACGGGGTAATTTCAGACTGCCTTCCACTCCAAATATTCCGTTCTTCATACATCTGAGCAGCATTTACTTTATGGAAATACTCCCTCTAGGGTCCCCCTCTCCCTGGAATTAAATGAAAAATCCAGTCAAGAAAACACCCCTTCTATCTTTCAGCCCATCTAGGAAAGCCTCTACTTTTACACATGAACTTCTGTAGCTTTTAATGTATTTTTACAAGACTATCAATGTTCAATGCATAAGAAGGCAATCTGGAAAACAAAAATAAAAACATCCAGCCCCAGTGGATAATCTCCTGCTGAACGACCATTCCACTACAAGGAACGCCTGCAGCAGCAGCTGCACCTGCATGTGGGAGGAGTGCCCTAAGGACGGGCGCAGGGTCTGAGCCACACTGCTGTGAAACCATCCTGCACAGCTCCTGCCCACAGCTCCTGCTTCCCCCCAGGAGCCTCCAGCTGCTCCAAGTGGCAGAACATGAGCACACAGCACCACAGATCTGAGCTGTTCAACGTGCAAAGCTGTGTTCAGTGAGCACCGCAGCCCGGCCTCAGCTGCACACTGCCTGCCTGTCCTCCCACACCCAGGGTTTGTCTGCGACCCATGCATGCAGTTCACAATAATCTATAAAAAGACAGCTTTCAAATCAAGTAATTATTGTCAGAATTCTTCCTCTTGATGACAATCTGCTAGACTGCTATTTATACCACAAGCCACATATAGCGAAGCAATAACAAATCTGTAGAACAAAATGTCTTCTTATAAGAAGACCAGACAACTAAAAATGCGCCTCATTTTTCCCCAATAAGAAAGTGTTTCCAAACAAGTCTGAATCATCTGCTTACTTTATAATGAGATCTTTAATAGATATCATTAATGATCTGTAGCTTCTTTCAGGGTTATTCTAAACTCCGAAGGCAAACCTAAAATGCAAATGTTTCCAGGCTGGGCTCCGTCTGGAGCATTCTGTGCTCTGTGCCTTCTGTCCTGCCTCCAGCTCCCACCAAACAGATGGGATCTTTCACTTTTGTAAGGCTGTGTGAAAGTTAATGGCACCACAGAGGAACGAGTGCCTCTTGGGGACTTGCACCCGAAAGAACAAGATGCTGCTTGTTGTTCTGTTCAAAAGCAGGACACCCTCCAGAACCGCTTCAGGAGAACAAGGAGCACCTCTATCCCAGCACAGCTCCGCAGCTTCCCCAGGCGATGCCCAACTCCTCCTCCCAGTCACTGCTGTGCCGTTCCCACTCCCACACCATCCAACCATTGTTACAACTGTGCACAAACCACAGCTGCAGGACAGCAGCACGCAGCCTTCACACCCAATGTCTGCCTGCCACCACGCCTCAGGATGAGCCGTGCTGTGCTATAAATGCCACGCTGCCCATACAACCATCAGGATATGCTGCTTGGGAGAAACCAGTACAGAGGAAGTATCAGAGCAGTCCTGAAGGAGTCTGCAGTGAGATTTTTCAAGGCTGTCCTATAAAGACCCACAAAAAGGAAATCTCCCTACCCAGCACACAGAAGGCAGCATTTCTCTGCCAGTCAGCTGCTGTGCTGCAGGCTGAGATGGGAGCAGTGCTGGACAGGGCTGGAACTCAGCCCACCACTGCAGTGCTCCTTGCAGAGCGCTCATCAGGAATGCACCCTGCTGTCTTTCAGCCCTGAGTCACTTGCAGGACAGCTGTGCATGTAAGCAGGCTGCAGAATGCACGATACATGCAGTGCTTTCAACTGCAGTGCATGAGCTGCTACTCTGGTTTCCTTTAGGCACTTGCCCTCAGGGCACAACTACAGGAAGGCTCTGTGTTCACAGGCAACTTCCAGCTCTCAGAAGAACATTTGTCAAAGAGTGTTTAAACAAATGTACTTATAGATACCTCAGCCACATTTGCAGTTCAAATGGAATTAGAATAATCTCAAGCTGGAAACACAAACATTGTGAATCCCAGCACCCAGACCCACAAAGGAACACCCAACTCCAGACTGTATCCAAGAGCTCCAGCAGCTTGTGGCCATGCCACTGCCCTGTGATGAAGAACCTGATGTGGCTGCAAGCTGCCATGAGGCCTTCCTCAAGGGAAGTGAAAAGCTACTGCAGAGAAGCTCAGAGAGGTACATGGCTTCCTCCAGTATTTTAACATTTTATTCTGCTGTTTGCTGTTACTTACTGAGTTTCTGTTCCCAAAAGCATCTCCACCTTCTCTCCTGCATGGTTACTGAGGACAGACAGCCTGAAGAGGTGAACTGGGGAGCTCTGCCGTGAGTACAGCATGGCTGAAGTGTTCTTCATGGGAGAAGAGGTCAGGTCCTCACTGTCACACTGCTGGACCACCAGCTGATCCCTTAAGGAATAATCTGTGACGTTGTAACTCTCCTCACTGCAGAACAATTAAAACAAAAACAACAGCCACAAGTTCAGTGTCAGCTTCCACTAGGTGCCTCTGGAAGCAAATCCAGTATAGAATCTGCTTTAACCACGCTGAATGGCACAATTCTGACATTTTGCATCTTCATCTTTTCTGCACATTTCTTTCTGAAACTACCAGCTTCCCACAGCCTGCAGTGCATTGCTCCATATGTTCAACTTACTCCACTAAAGCAGAAATGAGGCACAGCAATTGTGTTCTTATGCATTTCCTTCTGTACCTCCAAGTGAATCACAGACCTTCGTTTTAGAATACATAAGAAAAAAAATACACTTTCCTCTTCCTTGTGCCCACAGAAATATGGATAGGCAAACTGCTTCCCAATAGAGCACTATCAACCTTTAAAACATAGGATCATCTTGTCCATCTGCAGGTATAAGGTGCTAAAATCTACTTTACATTGTTCTGAAACTAATGACATAGCATCATCCAACTGTGACTTCTAAAAAGAGGCGAAGAATCACAGAATCGTAAGGGCTGGAAAAGACCTCAGAGATCCTCCAGCCCAACCCCAACCCAGTGCCACCAACACTGGTAAAATTCCTTCAGCAAAGTTTAATCACTGTTAGCATTATAACTTTTGTGACAAAATAATTCCCGGCAGCATGGAAAAAAACCATGGTTTTTCAAGCAGCTGTGAACAGCTAACATTCCCTAACAGAATTTAACCTTCAGGTGATTTCCAGTGTATGAAGTCCAGCTGCATTCCAATGTCAAGATAAACCTCAGAAGCTGACAAGCCATCGAGTGCTGAAAGCAGACGAGATTTGAGAGGTTTTCTTAGAGGGTCACAAAAAGCAGAATTTTCAATAAATGTGATCTCGGACTCAAATACAAGCCTGCAGTCTTGTGCAGCACTCAGGATGCTGCAGGTAAGTTTTCTGAACACTCAGTAAGGCGGTTTTACTTTAGCTGTATGTAACAAAGCTTCATGAATTGTGAGGTTCTCCTGAACTCACGGGATGCAGTGCTAGCTCGCTGACAGCTCTGGATCAGTAACTGAGGGACACAAAGCAGATCTCCATGATCCCAGGAGGGTATCTGACTATGAGTAGAGTTGTAGGCCAGCCGTGTCCTGTTTTTAGCAAAGCACTGTTACAGTGTAAGCTTACAAATCCCCCAGAAGAGAATCGCCTCTGCTGGTCAACCTCCCCCCAGGGGCACTTGTGAAGTGACCACTCTTCTGTGGAAGCTCCGTGTGCCTGACAGCAGACAAATCCACATCCACAGCCTGCAGTTACACTCATCAGCTGTGCAGGAGAGATGTAAGCACAGTCCTTCTTATCCATCCGTGTTAGGGGTGTAGAAGAGGAAGAAAGATGAAAACTCATTATGATAGAGATGCATACAAACATGGCAGTATTGTGCACGAAGTAAATATCCTCCATCTCAGCAAGGCACTGGTGTCACCATGCTCTGCGGAACATGGAAGAATTTCTTCACCAGCTCAGAGAAAACCATTTCCCAGATATGGCACCAGTAAGAAGAGCCATTGTGCAATCCATGTGCATCTCAGGGCAGACAGAAAGAACTCAAGATGTGAACTACACTGCCTGCTATTCTGCTACTCACTGTGTTGCAGTATTACCTTCAAATCCAATAAGGGACCCTGTAATGGGAGTCATGGCCACAGCAGTGGCAATTTGCAGTTCAGCAATGAAGTTAAGGAGAAAAAAGTAAAACTGAGAGCTGAGCAGTACAGAAATGCATGTTTTGTTCTCCAGAATCGATGTGACAGGTCCACAACATCACTCACACTTCCCCTTCTGTGCTTTTCTCAATGGTGCTGAGTATCACTCAGCCACTGTTTGCCTGACCTGGTCAAAGTGTGATGGAACAACTGTCCATGCTGGTGCTTCAATTTCAAACAAAAGTCAGACTGTAGCTCAGGATGACGACCATTAATAAAGCATCATTAGATTTAAGAACAAGAACCCCGGTGCATCCTCAATACACCCCAACACACTCTTTGTATTTGCTCAGCTAAAATGTACTACTTCTCATTACAAAAAGGCTTCTGGAGTGCTAGTTCCCTTGGTATTCAAGGTGCAGTTCATCCAATGACAATTCTGACACATGCGAACTGTTTCTAAAATGCAGATGGGCAGAACGCAGCCGTATCTCACTGGGCAGGCAGCTCCTCACTGCCACTGGGCACGGCCACCACCACAGTGCTGTGGGAAGAGGAGCTCTGGGCCATCCCAGCACGCACAAGTTTCTGCATATATGGCAAACTGCTCACACAGGACAGCTGAACTTTGGGGAAAGGATGAAGCAGCATGATTGCAGCACTAAGTAATTAGTATTTTTAGCACAGTAGAGTGATTTGGTTGTGCAACGACAATCTTTTGAGAAAGCAATTGCTGCAGTAGAAATACAAATAACTGAACCCGGCAAGCAACAAATATTTCTGTCCACTGCTGCAGTGTCCATGGTAACACTGGGGGAAGAAGAGCAGCTCACCAAAGCTCAAACGTTATTAATGACCAGATTCACTTGGGTAAGTGCACGCTTCGTGCCCAGAGGACTGGGAGGTTCACACACAAACTCTCTTCAATTCTGGTGTGTTCAGGGGGTGTTGTTCAATTGCCCAAATCAAGCTGATTGTTAAGTTTGCTTTAATTTTGGTTTCTGGGCCCATTCAGGATGTTTCGATTCCAGCAGCTGGAAGACATTATAAATCAAAAGCCCCAAAGCTTTGATAAGATGCATTGTTATAAAAACCTGCATTATAATCTGGACAACCAGCCAATAAACAACATAACAACACGGATAATAAACTCATCATCGTTTTCCTAACTCAGACATTTACTTAGCTACCAACACAGCCACACAACAGCAGGCCTGTGAGAAAAACACAGCTTAAGAAATGAGAGAGGGCTCTGGTGAGCAGCCAGAGGTGGAACAAGGGGCCTTGGAGGGAACGTTCCAGCAGGACCTCGACCAGCACTGAATCTCAGGATCACGGTCACAGCATTAAGAGCTGGGGACAATTCCACTGATTTTCCTCCTCATTGCATAGCGGTGTTTTGAGTTAAATATATTTTCCTCCATTTTGGAATATTTACATTTTCTTCGCAAATTTTATATTCTAATTCACTCCTCCTAAGTTCTGATTAAAATTATGATTTGAAGTTTCACAGAACAGCATCTCTTACAAACAGCTGGAATTTGGCTCAACTGATCAACGCAAATCCAAAATCATCCTTCCAAAGAGTTTCCAGCCTCAGGAAGGTTTGTCTATCAAGGATTATTTAACAGCAACATCAGAGGATGCAAATTCCATTCAATTATTCTAAGTCTCCCCTCAAATCCAGTGATAAAAGTTTAACTGGAGACCACTGGAAGCATCTTCCCGTAAACCTCTCTCAAAGTAATTCCTGTAACTGTATAAACAGTTTCACAAATTTTGACTAATTAACACGTTTAATCCACATTTTGTACCAGGCCCCTTCAAACCTCATTCAGTTTTCCAATTAGCAAATGGCTAGAAAATACAGAGCAATTCTGTGCATGCAATCACGTTTGCCCTTCCCACGGCAGGAAATGCTGGTTTCCTTTCCCTTGGGATGAGGCACACAGCAGTCACAACAACTCACAACACAGCTTCATGCTGGATGGCCTCTGTGTGCCGCAAGAGCCAAACACGAGATTCTGTATTGGTGAAGCTCTTACCTCTTCTTCTTGGTGATGATGAGGACATCATTGAAGAGGAAGAAGTACACCTGCTGTTTAGAAGTCCTTTTAGAGAAAAGTCCCGTGTCTTCTACGTAGGCTGTTAACTCTCCCCTTTTCACTAACCATCGTGAAGAAGAAACCAATGGAAATGGCTAAAAATCAAGAAAATAACATTTTAATATTCTAAAAATAGGTTTTTTTCCCCCTCCTTTTTTTAAGATCAGGAAACAAATATTCAGGAAAAAACCCACTTGAATAAACTCAAAGTGCAGAGATTAGGAGCACAAGTTTTAAAGTATCCACAAGTAAGAGCCTGCAAATGCTTGAAAATTCTCATATTCCCAACCTAATTGCTCATCCATGATCAAAATGAGCTCCCGACCACTCACACTTCGGGGTGGAAATGATGCCCTAAGGAGAGGAAAACTGCTTGTGTGGGGCTGGCAGCAGCCCATTCCCTCAAGAGCACATGGACATGGATGGGACACAATCAGGGCTGGCTGTCCCCGACTGCTGGCAGGAGCTGGGCTGCCCATGGCGCTCAGCTCCTCTCAGTGCTGAGGGTTGCTCCAGCAGGCTGCTGCTTCTGCCCCTTGATGAGCCCAGCAGTGTAGCTGGTTCCCTTGAAACCACTGCAGATCATTACAGATTAAGGAAACCTCCAACTTTTTTAGTTTTGCCTCAGGCTGATTTGTATCTTCACACATCCAGAAGAGACCACAGAGACTGCTCACCTGGATTTGGTCCTCCATGCAGCCATCCACTGGAGCACCACTTGTGCTACACTGCAGACGTACAGCAGTGATATATGATAAATATATGTATAACCTGCCATTATTTCAGTGAGTACTTTCTTAGAAGGGACAGACAGGCACTGGCACAGGCTGCCCTGGGAAGTGGTGCAGTGACCATCCTGATGGTGTTTAAGGAAGGGCAGATGTGGTTCTTGGGGACATGGCTGGGGCAGTACTGGGATACATGGGTGGCTGGACTGGATGATCGTAAGAAATCTTCTCCAAGCCTGGTGATTCTATGATTCCATATTCTCCAATTTGAAAATGCAGGATTTGATTTGAACCCATTCTTCCTAAGTAGATTTTCACCCAAGTCTCCATCTCTGTTAGTGAGTCAGACAACCTTACTAGAAATTGCTGTAATTTTGAGTTCATTCACTGACACTGCTGCTCATCTCACATCTGTGGCTAACATCAATCCAACTTATAAAGTGACAGTCCTTGGAGAAAGTGATAGAAACACCTCAATTAACCACACAGCTTACAAAGGCTCAATTTAGCTCACTACTCTGATATGGCAACGCAGAAGAGCTGCCAAATTTCATCTCTATAATCTAAGTAATTTCTAAGTTCATAAAAGCATTTAACTTCCTTACACCAAATCAAAGCTCTGCAGCTTCAGTACATTTTTGTAAGCAGGCAGCTTCACATATTTACCCTTCCTGAAATGTAGTAGCAGTTCCCTGTGATGATAATAAATGTGAAACATCAGACCAGAGGTTATACCACCTCCTAGGGGACTTCACAAAATCAAAAGGCTGGGCTGTGGGTCCAGAAATGACAGAGCAGTTTGGTTCTTGGACTCAAGCTTTTGCAGAAAATTCCTTTCCTGGCACTAAAACCCCCCAAAAAACCCACATCTGAATCTTCATTAAAAATACAGAGCCTACAGGTGAGCCATGTACAGAAGTGATGTAGATTTTAACAGCTTCTCTTGTACTCCCATGTAATGCTCTACAATCACAGCAAAGAAAATAAGAATTACAAAATGCATACAAAATGTATGAGAAAAGAACAGAAATAGTTTACCTGATCTATGATGGTTACGGAATAGAATCATCACGACTGTTCTTCAGATAAAGCTATTTTAAAGATTTCTAGAGCATGAACTAAAAACTCTCTAATCTCTACCTCAAATGAGTTCATCCTAGTCACCCATGAGATCTTCCTAGTCAACTGTATTCCACAGGCGTCTTGTGCTTACTTTAATATTAATTTTCCCTTAATTGACAAAAGAGTACGATGTGTACATCATCTGCTCTCTGTGTGAAGTAAGCCATCAGAACTTAACATGTATTGGAACTTGGCCAAAACAATCCAGCAAGCATTCCAGCTGGCACTGCTCAAACAGAAGAAGTGTAAACCACTAAGTGGCCGTATTAACAGGCGTGGAGGGAAAAGGTATTGCATAAAGAATACAGAAAAAGAAAATACAGTTCTATTATTGTCATGAAATCACTGAGAGCTGCCAGTCCCAGCATGCCCACTGCAAGGATCACACAGGGCCTGTTCCTGCTGCAAGGTCAGATCCATATCCTGATCCCCTGCCAACAGAAAAATAACGGGCACTGAAGATCTGCTGGGTGCTTCTGTGGGTCAGAAAACTGGGAAGGAACGTGGGAAGCCAATCACCCAAAGTTGTCAAACTATTTAAAACTCTATTTTAGATTATCCAAATACCTGAGGCTGTTATCACCAGTGTTAGCAGATGCTGTGATGTCACTCAGGAGACGTTTCCTTTATTCTTGTTACATAAATGTTATTAGTATGTAAATAGAAATACTGCAGACAATGTGAGAAATACCTTTTTGGAGATAGGATTTACTCGGAACAAGACTGACCACTTGAAGACATAAATCCATACTTCACATCTGATGACAAATCCAACCAAAACCTTCTCTCAAAACTATACTGGTTATGTAGTGAGACACAAATCACAGAAATGGTACTTTAACAGTGAATGAACAATGAATTTAACAAAGAAGACTCAATGTACTTCAAGAGGTTTTTTGTACGTACAACAAAACCCCACCAACTGTTGTTATTTCTGCTACAGATTTCACCCTACTGCAATCTGGATGTTCAAACAGTGCTAGGAGCCTTTCTTGGACTAACAGCCGTTGGTTGGTGCAGCTCCTGGGTGAAATCTCCTGGTGTCAGTACAGCAGTGCTGTCAGTGCAGACGCAGCAGCCGCCTGCGTGGCGCATCAGTGAGCAGCAGGGCAGGCACAAGGGCAGCTCACACACCTGCTCTGAGCATTAACTCCCACCTCGACAGAAACGGGGTGCTGAACTTTACCCCTCATTCTCAGAGCTGGGGTGCTAAAACTCAACCAAGGAATTGTTTTATTTCAGCTGCAGTAGATAAACAGGCGTCCCTTTCTGCTGCTGAACTGACATGGAGAGCAAGTAACACTTCATCAAACAGGCATTAAAAAACCCTTTTTGCTGTAACATACACTGACTCACTCTTATTAGAGAGATGTTTTTTTCCTCAGCTGAAGTCTGAAACCTATGCAAAATTTCAGAGCTGCCCACAGTTCATGGCAGCGCCCACCCATGTGTAAGGAAAGGCATCAGAAGTCATTCACACACTGCCTCACAATGTGCTCAAGAGAGAAATGCAATTGCTTTGCCATGCCATGCTTCCCCCCAGAAATGTTTCTTTGTCTCAGATCAGTCAATTCGTGTATGAGCTATACAGGTTCCATGACACGGCTGCCACTGCAGCAGAGAACTGTGATGCTTCTCAGAAATGATGCTGAGCATTTCTCTGATTTTCTTTATGTGAGAGAAAAGAGAAAGTTAACTCAAAACCTGACAGTCCTCAAGAAAACCAGTGATGAGAAGGACACAGGCAGAGCAAAGCATGGCACCACGCAGTACTTGTGACAAAATCGTCTTGCACATCTTTGTGAAAGACATGAAACAGTGCAATGTCCTATTAGGCACTCCACCAGGGACAGGCTTTCATCCACACAGGTAGACCAAAGCCTGGGCATACACTCTTCAGTAATTAATGCTACTTTATTCTTAAAAAGAAGTTCTTCTACTCTATTTCCCTAAAAAGTCTCACCTCAAAGCTTAACAGACCTTGCTAAAGGTGCAGCAGTCCTCAGTTACTCAAGTTTCCAGAGCTTCAGCTACCTTAGAATATGAATTTGTCTTCCCATTAACTGAGAAGTCACATCAGGACTACAGCCTGCCCTAATTTACTTTGTGCATTTGGTAATGAAGCTACCAAAACTTAAACACAATCAAAGCTCCTCCTATGCTAAATGATTCTGGTTCCTTGATTTAATCATACCTTGATTTTAAATTCCAGCTGGGAGTTAATCGTGTACATCATTTCTGTCCTTTCCATTTTCCGAGCACCTTCATTGCACAAACGCACCAACTGAAAAACAAGACATTTGCTGAGCGCGTTTCACGTCCTCACAATCTATAATACCAGTAACTCTTGTTCCTTGATCCAACACACTTCTGTGGAAGCATTTACAAAGGATCTGACATTTTCACAATGCTTTCAAGATCTGAACGAATGCACCAGAGTGACCTGGTCAGAGCTGAGAGCTGGTTCTGCTCTGGGAGCGGACTGGATGACCTCCTGAGGCCCCTCTCAACCCACACCACTCCACGATGCTATGATTACTATTTCTTCTTCAGCACAGCCCTCATGGTACAAAGCTACAGCCAGAAGACCTGACTGAGAAGGCTTACACTCACTGATCTACATGAGCACCCAGCCCCACAGAACCCATCCTTCCAGCCTGACAATCCGTGCTGCACACTGACGGCTATCACATGCATGCAGCTCCTTCATAGAAGGAAGTCCCAATACAAATACTGCAGTGCCACCTTGTTGAACTCAGGCAAACTGCTCTAGGGGTTGGCAGCCCTGCCCACAGCAGGGGCACTGAAACTAGATGACCTTTAAGGTCCTTTTCAACCTTGGCCTTTCTATGAGGCTATGAAACTTCCCCAGGGACGGCTTCACTGCAGCTGGCATTCAGGACACAATCTCAAAGCACACACCATAGCCCTACTGAAGCCTGCACACCAGGGAAGAGGCATGCACCCACAGGTGCAGTCAGAAGGGCATCCAGTCACATTCCCTTTAACTCCACAAATGCCATGCAGGATTTCCTTCAGTTAATGAGCCTTTTCTTCTTTTAAAAATCACTTTACAAATCATTTACTGCTCCTATGGAAAAAGTAATTGTGTTGGCAACAGTACGGTGTTCCTGAGTTTAGGATATTTTCCTAAGTAAGAGAAAGACAATAATTTAGCCAAGAAAAAGGCCACTATGGACTGATTTTGATTAAGACAATGTAGAGCTTTTATATCCTTTGCTGCTCTCCCTTACACATGAATATTCAAGGCCCAAAGCAATATGTAGCCCTGAAAGGTAGAGAAAGATTTTTTTAAATTATTTTTATTTTTAAGTAATGTCAATAATCACATTTAATGACAGTCTATGATGCGCTATGGCTTCTGAAACAGATCTTGCAGGCAAAAAATAGCCCTGAAATTCTTAATTTTCTTTTCATACCACAATGCCCTGCTTGACAGTCTTCTATTTCCAGAATATGCCTATCTGCAGCTATCTAGAACATGTATACATGTATTTTAAACAGATGAATTGGAATTTCTCACTAATCAAAAAAAATAATAATCAGCTTGCTTAGTTTCACATAAAACAAACTGGAATTTGTTGTAAGTGCTGTTAAAATCTCCAACCAATATGCATGGAAACTTGCACTCTTCTACCTTTGATTATTGGCAAACAACTGACAGCAGCAGACACCCTTAGCGTGCAGTAAAAGCAGGCAGGCTTAAGCACAGACTTTTCTGCACTCCAGGACATACCTTGCTCACTTCCTTCAGAGCCTGCTTGCAGTTCTCATATTTCGGTGAATCTTTAGGAGTTTTCTGACAAATGGTCTGAAAGAAAACATCCATTACTGCACAGAACTAAAAAGCACAGACTGTAACAAATACAGAAATTCACATACACATTAATGGTAATCAAAGAGCTGAAGAACCAGCTGTGAACTTACAGATAAATGAGAGAACACTGTGGACTTACAGATAAATGAAATGACGCTAATTGATTGATTTTAATCCTAACAGTCTGTGTAGCTTCTGTGCCAAGTTATTCCTCCTTGGTTTCAGAATCAATTCTACTATAGAATCTTTCTGATTGGACTTCTAAATATTTAATGTTTGACTGCATAACCAAATAAATGCTACTGCATGTCATGCTCTGCAGCCCTGTCGGTACTTACAGCCCTGTGCCTCCTACAAGCAATGGGATCAGCCAGGAATCGAACATAAAGGAGAGCTAACATTAAGAGAACACAAAGGAAAAAAAGAAAAGCAACATTCTCACATCCATCAGCAATGGAAGACGAGTAACTCTCTGCATAGGGAGAATGAGGAAGGAGATCATCGGTAAATTCCTGCAGTCTTCATGGGACTCAATGCGTGACAACACCTCTTTAAATGCTGGATTTGTAGCTCTGGTGAGGAAAAGGGAGGGGAACTTAACAGTGTTTTACCCAGGAATTGTGAAAGTTGGCAGATTTCAGAAATAGGGGAGATGCAGTTTGAAAGATTTGTATCGCAGCCTTCAGTGTTACTTGCTTAGATATGCATGACCAGTACTGACATTTAGGGAGCTCGTTTTCTCCCACAGGAGAACATGAGTGCAAACAGACTCACAGGTAACAGAAGCAAAGCACAGCTTTGGTAAATTCACAAACCTGCACTTACCAGCAAACAGGCAATGTGACACACAGCCACAACCAGGACTGCACGATGCAGCCCGGCGCGTTTCCACCCCCAGGGACTTCAAAGGCCCTTCTGCATGAAGGAACACCAAGCATGTGAGGACATGCTGTGAGCCCCAGGCCTCGCACCAAGTACCACAGCCTTTGCCTCCTACTATGAAGGGAGTGATTTTGCAATCATATTTTAAAATTAGCTCTTACAGCAATTTCTGAAGCGTTCGCTGCTGATAGACTTCATTAGTGCAGTATTTTACATAAGGATCAAACGTGGAGGAAGAATGCTTTTCCACAATATCACTAATATCGTCAATGAAGATGTTGTTCTGATGCCTTGCTTCAAGCTCTTTGAAGAACCTGTGAAAAAAGGAAAGAAACCACTCAGTTTACAAAAGCAACAGCAACTTCCTTGCAGCATTTTACACTTCAACTGACACAACCCGTGGCTTTTATAACCTAATGACAATTTGAATAGTTTGTGGAAGGGTGAGGTCATCCCTCCTTCTGGCAGAGCAGCGTGGGAAGCCTTTCGCTGATGTCGGGGCGGTGGGTGTCAGCTGGCACAGCTCCCCCAGCACCACCCCCCAGCTGCTGCCAAAACCACCCAGGCCCACACAGTGTGGTTGGACGGGAATTTCCAGAAACGGGGTTGAAAAAGAAATGGAACAACTTCAAGCACAGCATTAAATCACCATTTCCTCCTGTAATAAGGGAAGTACAATACCAGAATAAGTCCAAGTAAATAGAGTGTGAACTGCTAAACCTTACGTGACTGTCTTATCTGCTTCAGTCTACCATTAACCCCAAACACAGGATGGAAACAAAGAGGAAACAAAGCAAACTCTTCTTCCCTGCTGCTCATCCTCTATTCCAAGTCAGAGCCCCTTTGACCTCTAAGAGCTTTTCACTCCTTCTTGCCCTTGTAATTTTATCAAAAACCAAATGCCTTCATTTCAACAATGCTCATTAGAAATATTTTGACCCTTTGGGGTACAAGGGCTGAAATGAATTGGTATTAGAGCTATTGCAGGTCATTAGAGCCATCTGACATCAGTGCAATGCAAAAAAAAACAAACATCTAGAAGTTACTGAAAATCCCTCTAGTATTTTTCCTGCTTGCAAGTGTTACAACCAGGTAATGTGCCAGGATAAACCAGTTAGCTAAAAAACTGACTTGGAGCACAGCAAAGTAGCACAAATACTTGAAACACACGGCCCTGTATCAAGCTAAAGCACTGGGAAGTCTAGTTTTGTTTTGTTTTGGCCCATTATCCTATTTTCTCATTACTAACCACTGGCTTTTCAAAGCCTGTCACCCTGAGGCATCTCATTTCGGTGCCCCAGCCTCGGCACTGCTTGTTTTACAGATGTAAGGACTAGAGAGGAGGACAAAGAGAAGCTCATTATGCAGGTGTGTTAAGAGGCTCACAGAAATGAACACACTTTGCTGTCTGACTGATGATGGCCACGCTCAGACTGCAGCCACACAGCCAGACGGAGCGCCTGGGGTTGGCTGCTTAGTTTGACAGCTCTGACTGCACACTACCTGTAGCTTCAACCAGCTGCTGGCATTTAATGAATACCAGGACACTGCTCACAAACAGATGTAGTACATCCACCACTGCTTACCGCTTTCTCCTCCCTTTCCCCCAGAGTGCTGCAGCAGTATCATTCATAGCGTTGCCAATTTTGGAAGGCGCAGTCCTCCAGACTCCTATTCTCCAACCATCTCATTTCAAAGCATGAGCTATTTCACACTGCCACTGTGTCACCTATGAGCTCTTGCACAGACAGCAGTGCTGGCACAGCAGGCCCAGCTGCAGCGAACTCTGCCAGCCAGCAGAACCACAGCAGGCAGCTCCGAGCTGCTGGCCACAACTGCAGAGGACCGGAATTCATTTCCACTCCTCTCAGACCCACTGATGGCTGGGAGAAGCTCAGTGCCCTGCCAGCTAGGAGCCCTTCTCCCTGCTCCACGTTACCACACGCCGAGCCAGCGTTTGATCGTGCTGCGCTGGAACTGACGCTCGTAAAGCTGCTCTCGTGCTTCACCAATGACACCAACAGACACAGCCATTCTAGGAATCAGTACAAATCCTGCTTAGTAGGAGATACCTTAAAAAAAAAAAAAAGAAAAAAAGAAAAAAAGGGACAGAAAAAGCACTCCCACATCTCATCACCCTCAGAACGCACGGAAAGAAACATGACTGCTGGAAATCACACGCTGCAGTTGGACTCAAAGTCACCTGCCCAGCAGCCACAGTGCAACAAACAGGCACGTCCCAACTCACTTCTACTTAAAATTCTCAGACAGACTCTGTCGTGAGGATCACAACTGACTCACTCAGTGCCAACTCAACCAGCTACAAATTAGCTGCACTCTGCCCTGTGACTGTTTTCTCTTAGCAGCAGGAGGACCTAATAAAGCATTTATTTCCAGAGCTTAAAGCTAGTTCCACCAAAGTGAAAGTCAAACAGCACACTAACAGAGAAACTGATTTCCTCTGCCCTGCCCCGTGCTGTTTCAGAGAAATGTCCCATCCAAAATACCCTGAAACTCTTCCTCTCCTAAAGGCTGTGTGCCAGACCCAGCAATACAGATGTCATTAATTTCCTGTTTGTTCCCTCTTCCATCTCGGGAAGGAGAAACACTGCAGTACACAGCAGCACCAGGGTTGTCCCAGCCCTACTGCAAGTTTCCCTTTGCAGTTTTGGAGCCTTGTGTGAAGGTTCTCCCTCTAAGCACATCATTAGTAACCCGTCCATCATCATGTGGAACAACATGCCAGGATTTGCTCAGGCAGTTTTCTTAAGCTAATTCTGCCTCTTAACTGGCACTGCTTTGATCTCTACCTGACACACACAGCTTCCTGCCAAGCCTGGGCTAAGCCAGCTGAGCACAGCAGTGTCAGCACGATGTTATGCTGCAGGACTCAGCAATGCCTCCCTTACCAGCATCAAGTTCCCATCGATCCCAGCACAAGTGCTACTTAAAGGGATGCAATGAACAAATCAACCAAGTAAAGGTGGTGACATCAATTATTTTGCTCAGTCTTCCTTTTCAATGTTTGCTCTCTCTTCACCCCTAAGCAAAGATAATAAGCAAGATGGATTTACATTTTTACCAGCGCTGCCTTATTACCGGTTATGTCAAGATTAGGCTGCGCTGGATTAAAATTGTCTTTGGCCATGAGCTTCTAACCAGGCAGGCCATAGAAGAGTTAGAAAACTAATTCTATCAAAACTGCTATCCAGGAGCCAAAGCATCCCCCACCATCAAGCCCACTCTGCACATGGAAATGAACTGCCGATTATTCAAGTTACTATTATAAATTTTATGAAGTTATAACAACCTGTATTTCTGGCACAGGGATTAAAATGCACATTTAGCTTCACAATGCTTTTGGTGCTGTCCAACCCCTACAACTCTGTGGTCCTGTGATCTTTTTGTGAAGCCTACTGCCCACAGCAGCGAAGCTGCTCCCATCTAACACCCTTGATTTGCTACACACCCAAATGAGTGAGCGCATCAAGCTAAGGCCTGGGAGCACAGAGGAGAGGGAGCAGGAACCAGGCTGCCCTGCAGCAAGCAGTGTGATGGGAGAAAGCCTGCCGTGCTGCCACAGCCCCGTATTGGTGATGTTACACACCTGCTAGGAAAGCTTCCATCTCAGGGATTCACAGACCTGTGAAGACTGTACAGCTTTAAAATCTCATCTTAAAATAGCACACTGACCCAATGATACAGGAGAGGAGCCAAAGGAACACACATACCTCCTCCTGCTAAACACAACCATTTCCAGGCAACGTACAATGTGGAGCCTTCCCAAAGCTGTGTGCTCCCCCTGCACACAGAGGGGCTGGCAGCGCTCACTGCCCTCACCAGCAGCCTCTGCTCAGTCCCACCAGGACTGCCTGCTGCTGCCCTCCTTGCAGCCTTGCCACAAGGAAAGCACAGCTTTCCTCTGAATAACCGCTTGTATGGGAACTGCTGAGTCCTGGCCTGAACCACCGATGGAGCACCTGGGGAATGGACCAGGTCAGCCCTGGGAGCTCAGGGGAAGGCAATTCAGCTGTGGGACCAGACGGGGTGGAGCCTGGCTGCACCTCTCTTGGACCCCTTTGAAGGGCTGACTGCCACTGGGGAAGGAGCTCTTTCTGGAGATCCACCCCTGTGATCTTAGAATCTTCTGATATGGGTGAGCAATCTTCCTCCCTTCCCTTATAGTGCTTTTCTATCATGCTGGTCCTTCCATCATCACACCTTTGTTGTAATGCCTTTCCCACTGTACTGATCTAATTGCTGCTGAACATCCATGAGCTGTACTATCAAAAATCCAGTTTTCCTCTTTTACACTTCCTGCAGTAACAATAAAGCTGAAAAGCGGTGCAAGGGCTGTAACCAGAACAAACCAGCACCAAAGCAGAGGCTCCACACAGGTCAGAGCTTCAGCTGAACGGCACCATAGGAGTGGCTGCACAGCCCCTCTACTATGCAGCTGCTGGCTCCAGCTGCACAGTGTTAAACTGCAAGTGCCACTGCTCTGCACAGCAACTGTCCTCAAACACAAACACACACATAACTCCCTGCACAGCTCAGGCCGCAGAAGAAGAGCCAGAGGTTGCAGGAATTCAGCTCGGAACGCTGCTGCTGGCAGCGCTTTGTTAAACTGAGAACACATTCATACAACGTAGCAACGGGTTTCAGCACAAATAAGTATTACAGCAGATGGGAGCTTTATGGCACAGCTCTGGTGATGCCAGCAGCTGCAGCAAATGCAAACCACCACCAAGTGGAAAGCCCAGCACCGACCGCGCCGGTCCCGAAGCACAACCATGGCTGCAGGACTCCTGGCTGTGCTCCTCACCTGCTGTCACCTGCAGCATGCTTTACATCCCAGCTCCCATCAGTATTTCAGCTCAGAACAAGGTATTTCTATCTGATGCCAAAACTATCCTAACTCACTGGCAGAGGGAAGATTTGGGGTTTGGATGTTTCTTTTTTTCTTTCAATGAAAAGCAGCTGGGGTTTACGTTAAAAACAATCATTAACAGAGACTCAGGTAAAGAAAGAAGGATTCCTATGCTGAGAGGCACAGCTGGGAAAAGAATGATTTGTTGTAATTTTATATATATACATGTATGTAGGTATACATGAGTGTGCAAACATTTCTAACCACCTAAAAAAGCATTCTCTTTCAAATTCTGTTCACCAACCAGCCTAAGGAAACTGTGATTCCGTTCAGAATCGTAACTCAGAAATATGACTCCCTGAACAGTGAACCTCTAGTCCCACCTCAAACAAGGAAGCTAACTTCTCAAAGAAGAATCACCAACTAAGGAATCCGAGTTCCAGT